GGAACCTTTCCTGCTAGCTCTCAGCCTCAACATGTCTCCATGATGAAAACAATGGTGGGAATCCATCAAATGTTATCGGACCGGTCACACAGGGAAGATTCAAAGTTATTACACGAAAGCTTCCGTGACTTTGTCCACCACACAAACCAGGTTTTGTCGTAGAATTTGAAAATCAAAATTTATCATAGGCCTCTCAGATTTATTAAGGATACAAAATAAATATTACTAAATACACATGTGAATCACAATGCATAGGCCAAATTTATTTTTGATAATATAGATAAGGCAGGGTAAAAACATATATACTTTAACATATTTAAGTGACATGATGCAAATGAAAACTACTCTTATACAAATACATTATCTATAATGTATGTATTGTTATTACTATTTGTGTAACTAAATGAACCACTCGAGAATGAGTGCCTACACTTTTTTTAATGGGAGTGTGTTCTACTTGAAACCTTTTGTCCATTTTCAAAGTGAGCTATGCAAGAAGGGAATGTCAGTTTGCCAAGACTGGTACTGTCAACTGTAACTATTGCCTACAGTCATCCCTCACAATAAAGCCATTTGCGATACCATGGTTCCAATTGAAAAAAAGGTTCCCCATCGATCACACATCTTCACGTCATCAGAAATAGCATATCAGCACAAATAAATCCAATGTTGTATTGAAGTTAATCCTTGACTTAATCCAATTTTAAACTAGCGAAATTCATTGCGGATCACAATAAAAACTGTTCATTGTACATATCCATGTGTTATGGGTTTTCAGATGCTTAAAAAGATTCAGGGTTCTCTTGAATAATTACACAAACAACGGAACATCGTTCTAACTTATAAAACACAACTTTATCATATAAGACATGCCTTCATGTTTGCTGTGATGCAACACACCGCGTTATAGCGCGGGTAAACACCGCCATCTGAAAATGTATTATACCAGAAAACACATAATAAAACGACCTTCCTAGATAAAAATTCACTTGATTAAATTTATGTCCCATTTTCATTCATTAAAACTGTTTACAGTAACATCGGTGAAAACGTATGAGTGAAATGGCATGCTTATTTTGCCTCTTTCAATAGGCGTGCAACTTCTGCTTACCATCTTCGTAAGGGTACACTTTTCACTCCTACTGCGAAAGCACCAATTTCACATTATTCTCTACCCATGAAGGTCTGGCAGGGTGATTCCTGCGTGTGATTCCCATGTATTTGACGCAACAATTTTGTAAACGACTTTCAAAATATTATCATACGAGTCAAGCTTGACACAAGTTTTACGGATGGCCCTCACAATTCAGTTCAATAAAATCGATTTGATAAGCAAAAAATGATATTGTTCAATGGTAGTTTGACTTTTGCAGAGCTGTCAGATTGTTCCAGAGAACTCAGAGGAGACAGTAATCTTGGCTGTTTGAATTGAACAATGCTGTAGTTTCATTTGGTGATGTGACATAGACAGTTACATACTGAGAATGATTAACACAAAGAAATATTAAAATTTTCATGACTCCCAAATATTGAAAATGACTCCCCCAAATAAATATTGCGAGTCACCATGACTCCCATGTTCAAAAGTGTGTGTAAAACCCTGGGTCCGGGTTAGAATATTGATCTTCAGTAACCCATGCTTGTCATAAGAGGCGACTAACGGGATCGGGTGGTCAGGCTGGTCAATATTGCTGAGTGTGGTATAAAACTAAACTCACTCACTCACATTATTCTCATCAATCACAGTCTTATCATCCATGGGCCCCGAGACCAGCTTTATTGACTCATTGAAGTCACATTTGACAATTAATTACCAACATTTTGTTTTTGCAATCAAGTTGTAATGGTAACTTGTCAAAATGTGTCATATGTCAAATGTATCCAGCTACATACCAAAGTACAATCACTTGACAACATTATTGTATTCGTGAATAATTATTTGTATGCATTACTCAGTGATACGTATTGTATACACCACATCATTTATTCGTTGCAGCCCTAGTAAGAGTACTAAAATGGTTTCCACGCTTCTTGGCCTTTTCTGCCATGTTTGAACTTTGAGCGATTGTTGGTGCATTTCTATTTTGCACTAATGTCACATACACCAAACTATATTAGTATCACAGAAATCGTCGTTGTCAGCACAGGTAATATAGATATGTACGCCTGTATACATGGATATGTACAATGAACAGTTTTAATTGTGATCCGCAATGAATTTTTCGCTAGTTTAAATTGGATTAAGTCAAGGATTAACTTCAACACAACATGAAATTTATTTATGCTGATATTCTATTTCTGATGACGTGAAGATGTGTGATCGCTATGGAACTTTTTTTTCAATTGGAACCATGGTATCGCAAATGGCTTTATTGTGAGGGATGACTGTAGGCAATAGTTACAGTTGACAGTACTGGTCTTGGCAAACTGACATGACTTGCACGACTGCGAGGCTAGTACACATTCCCTTCTTGCATAGCTCACTTTGAAAACGGACAAAAGTTTTCAAGTAAACCACCCTCCCATTAAAAAAATCATAAATATTCGGTTCTGGTGACCACAAATAACGAATTGAATAATGAATTCACGAACAGCTACAGTTCAATACACTGATATGCGAGTGAATCATAACATAAGTCTCTTACCACATATTGTAATCCATTGCACTATACATAATGTGAGTTATACGATGTTAGGGATGAGATGTATTTGTGAGCAGTGTTTGACATCTTAAGTTACAGTTCAAAAGGGACTCTTTTTTTATGGGAACATATTTTTTCGAGCGGCTTTAAGACAGTTAAATTAGCAGAAAAAGGAATGAGTTTGTGAACAGTGTTTGACATCTTTAAAAGTTACAGTTTTCAGGGAACATATTTGTTCCAGCAACATTAAGAGGGTTAAATTATCAGAAAAAGGAATGTGTTCTGAATGATTTGAAACAGATTTGATGTGTATTGACATGAGGCTAGACTGATTGTAATTTGGAAGATGTCAAAAGTGACAAAGGTCTTTAGATATTTATGAGTTGTGTAAAATCAACAGGAAATGATACTATACAACATACCCTGCAACGTGACAGTTCTAAGAACTCTGAACATCAACAAGGAAATCTCATCCATTATCTGACCAGGACATCCAACTGTTCAAGGCTACAAATTCATGAAAATTTAAACAAAAGAAATGACAGATTTCAAGACTAAATCATTACTATATCTAACCATCATGTTTAACATTAATTCATTCATAAAAGAATTATTTACATAATGATGTGTCAAAGTGTAACACTTGCACCATACACACAGACATTGTTATTGATCTATTCAAATGACATTGTTGGGAGGGCACACTTGACAGATCAATCTCAAATGTGCAGGTAACTATCTCCACAGCCAACGAATAGTCACGTGTTAACTCGAGGAAGAGAAACAAAATAGCACGTGATACTGTCATTCCGAATATCAGATTCAGTAATATCTATTCAGAGATTTATTTCTTCACAAATAGTTCCTTTTGAGGTTTATCAAATCCAAATTCGTAATGTAAATGGAACACAATAAGAGGAATTCAGCTGTCACTTGTTGATAAATAATTATTGAATGATCGTAATGATCATAAAATGTATTTCTGAAAGAGTTGTCCCCCTTGATATGTTTATCATGTGTCCTCCAGGTTTAATCTATAAATACTGGCTTAAACATTGTTTTTCTTTCTGTCTTGTCACACAGAAAATTCATAAGAGTAGGATAAATGATCAGACAAAAAGAAACATGTGTGTATATTTATCATAATTCGAAATCCTACCTTTGTTTGGCAACGGAACGCTCAATTTGTGTGACATGATTTGACAGAACGTGTATATTACGTAATCAAAGTGTGTGTACGTAGGTACGGTACTATTTTCCATATAGCGTTTCTTACACAGAAAAACACGCCAGGCGACACTCAACTCAATATAGCAATAACTTTGATTTCAAAAGTATTTTATCATGCTAATGGACCATACCAGTTCTAGCTAATTCAAAACTACTTTGAAATCTTAACCCACTCCCAGGAAACTGTATATATAGGTTTGATATTATAAAACATTTGTGAAGTACTTTTAATTCAGAATCGTATATGTTGGATTATGATTTTTTAAACTGATATTGCTTGGGAGTGCCTGTATCAGGGGAGGATCAGAAGGGGCGCAGGGGTGCGCTACCCCCTTCTCTCCCGAATTTTCTTTCCCTGGGATCGTTTCCAACTATCCCTTGGACTTCATGATTTATGTGCACCCCTCACCAAAATCCTGGATCCGCCCCTGCCTATATGTGTGTGTTAAGCATTGGCATATATATGCCTATAATCTAAATATACCGAGGTTTCCGCGTACGACATGCTCATACAGAGAATAGACGGACAGACAGACAGAATTTACTTCTTTGATGGGCATTCTAGAAGTTGGGTAGATGAAGAATGAGGACTATTTTTATGGATATACAATTTCTTTATTCTAGATATAGGCGACGTTTCGACATAGATTCTACTTGCTTGACAACGACATTAGAATCTATGTCGAAACGTCGCCTATATAGAATAAAGAAGTTGTATATCCATAAAAATAGTCCTCATTCTTCAGACAGAATTTATTCAATTTTTAAGGCCTCAGGCCCATACAACATACATAGGAGTTTGGATAAAGATTTATGCGTGCATAGTAACAGTTAAATTGAGATATTTTCCGATTTGTTTAATAATTTTGATGTTTTCGGTAGACATACATGGAATAAATGCGTCCATTATTTGCAGAGACCAGCAGACTGACATGTCTCAATATCGAGTGTTTCTGCTTCGTAAGGTAAATAGTACAGAGCCCACAATCTATGACGTGAACGCATTTCCGTTCAACTTTGTCCCCCAAGGGCCCGTAAGAAGTGTCAGTGCACAGCTGTGTTACGTGTTTACAAATATAAGAGCTTGGTTGGATACGAAAAGTAGGTCAGATAGGCAGTCGGTAAGTCGTCAGCATAGCGAGTAACAGAGTGTATTCTTGTTCCATGGGTTTAATAAGTTATTAGATGGGTAGTGCCCTTTGTTCTGGAGGAAACACAGTTTCATCTGAAATAGACAGAGAGAAGACGCAAAGTGTTAACAATTTCTCTCGTAGTAAACATTCAGATAGCGAGTCTGAAACAGATTTTGCACCTACTGATGTAGAGGGAGACCCACCAACGGTAAGGAGCAAAATGTCAAATTACGCCATTGTTTATTTGAATCAATCGAGGTACTTCTAAGATTTTTTGGGTTAAGAAAATGAGATTAGCCTGTAATTAACCACAAGACGGCAGTGGCATGTATATTTGACCATAAACACCAGAACCGGGGAAAGACTTCTGCCGGTATCCCCCTTAAATTTCATTCTAGTCAAATCATATCACCTAAATATATATTCCTCATTTGATAAGGACGAGTTTTAACATGTTTCTTTTATTGTATCTGCACAAAATGAAAGACATATTCAACCTCTAAAAATGCCACTCAAAGAACATTTTCCTCATCGTTAAAATTTAGGGGGATACAGGCCTAAGTCTTACCCAGAGAAGCAAAACTATATCATACACAAGTTAATAATAACCTGATCACAGAACAGGCTCTCCGAAGTAACCCCTATTCTTAGTAAAGATTATATTTCACCAGCCCCTATTGTTACATAGTTGAAGGGAACAATTTATTTGTTAGCATATCATCAGTGTATGAAATAAGGCCCGTCCGACCACTCGAGATGGGCTAGATTTCTGCCGGACGGTCTAATTTTACAGCTAGCAAGTCCAATGGACGGGTGAAAAAAATATATTCAGATAACGTGTCCTCTGGCACTGTCTATTTAGTATTTAAGAAGGACTGGTTAAATCTCTTCTGGGCTGGTAAGTTTTTGAAGTAACCGCCTGGGTTTTGGCTGGCTGGGTTTTTCGCTTATTTTATGCACTGATATCATGTGTTAATGAGATTTCATTACAGGGATATGAAATATGGTGCTCAATTTCCGTGCCATTGGAATGGCACAGTGGAAAACTTTTCAATGTTCCCTTGGTGAACAACTAAAATTATAAGGATAATACTAATTAAGATTCGTATAATGGAAAATGCAATATATTTGTCCTCTTATGATGATTCAAAACCTATTTTTGCATCCCATCAAACTGTTTATCGGTGGCACTCTCAATCTCACAGTTTAACATAGGTGTGGCCATGGGCCTACCTTTAGAATACAGCACCACAAACTTTAAAAATACGCCATAATACCCTTTACGTAATGTAATGTGATTTTGTTCAAAAGCACGTTCTCGATACAATGCCCTATGACGCCTGCATGGCAACACGGTTGTCTGGCTCAGCGAAAGTGGGTATAAGCTCCGCCACTGGTGTTTCATCTCTACGAGCTATGTCATTGCATAAGCCCAACGATGTTGAGAGTTTCCAGTAGTTGTATAATCGCGCGGATGCTAATATTTTGCAAGCACCAGTTTGAAATATTTTTCTTTTCACTAATACACTCATATTTATTTGTATTACGGGCTGCTGAGGTGTTATGTTTTGTGTATTTTGTATTTTGTAATTTTTAAATTTACATATATATTTTTGTCATTCAGTAATTTGCACCATTACATAGAAAAGTGTTTTATTAGTATTTTATTTTTCGAAGCGGTAATAATGCATTACACTAGACACGCCAGTCGTGTTTGTGCCGGTTCGGTCAATGCATTCTATTTATTAGGATTAATTCAAGGTATTGGGGGTTAGGGTTAGGGCTAGGGCTTAGGGTTAGGGTTAGGGTTAGGTTAGGGTTAGGGTTAGGTTAGGGTTGGGGTTGGGGACCTAATGCAATATAGTAGGTACATGTCCGTGGTTCGGTCAATGCATTCTATTTATTAGGATTATTTCAAGGGGTTAGGGTTAGGGCTGAGGGTTTAGGGGTTAGGGTTAGGGTTAGGGTTAGGACCTAATCCAATATAGCAGGTACATGTCCGTGTAATACGTGAGTACCATTTGTTGTTTTTCTTTTTGCATTTTAATACTTTTTTTCACACAAAAACGGGAAACCAAAACGCCGAAAGTACATTATGAAATGGGTTAATGTAGAAATTTTGGGCTAATGGAAATTGGCCTGGAATTTGCACTCAAGCCTCTTTCACACGCAACATAAATTTTGTTCAGTAATGATTCAAGGCTAACTCACCCTCGCGGCCGCCACTACACATGCTCATGTCTCCCTCGCTCCTTTAGTGCGATCCACATTATCCTTACAGTGTTCCCTACATCACTTTTCTGTCACAAAATCACCGATTTATATAAAAGCGCCATTCATGCATGCACCGCGGAAATCTACGCCTGACGCCTGACGCCAACAACCCTTTTCAGTTTGAGGCATATCGCTCATTCCACGCCACACGCTAATTTGTAGATTACGGAATGGGACGAGTGTGCCAAATGGCATCGGATCCATTCGCAATTGTCCGAAGAATAAAATCACGAGACACCAAGTCTACCCGTAGCATTCGTGAATTGTCCGCGACCTATTCGACTCTTTCCGCTTCATTTCCGCGGACGCCACAGGAATGACTCGATAAATTTGCACATTGTGTAACAGTGTGGACGTAGCTCAGTTGGTTAGCTGTCGAGCTAACAATCCGAAGGTCGCGGGTTCGCGTCCGACGGGTTCTCACAAACTGGTTGCTTGTCTTAATGACATGTGACCTACGGCAGAGATCGCCCTCACGAGAAGTTGTGGTGCTGTATTCTAAAGGTGCTCCAATTCAAACCATGGACCTTCTGATCCATAGTCAGATGCATTGTACACATGACCAAAGATACCCATGAGTGCATGAAGATCCGCGTTAGAATTGATCTTCAACAACTCATGCTTGTAGTAAGAGGCGACTAAAGGGATCGGGTGGTCAGGTTCTTTGATTTGGTTGACAGTTATGGTTGACACAACTACTACATTAGAATCTCTACTTCACAAGTTTACTGAAAAGTGTAATCCCAGATATATGTTACGTTTGATCACTTTGAAAAGCATTGTGTATTCACAGAAATACTGTCAGTCTGATGTGTCCAGTCCCAACTATTCCAATGTGCTTGTGGTGTGTGTTTCAGGACAGGATGGCCAATATAGGCAACAAGCAGATTCAGCTGAGATGCAAGACTCCCACTGGTCAGCATTACTTGACAGGACTTACTCTCAACACAACAGTGGGAAGACTAAAACAGGTGATATCCGACCTAGCCAACATTCCCAAAGACAGCATCAAGATCAGGCAGGGTTACCCACCAAAGGTAATCAACACAACTGATGACTCAGCAGAAATAGAGACTCTGCCATTCCGATCAGGAGACACTCTGATTGTGGAAGAAGAGAGGGGCTCACAGATTCTGAAGCAGCAGAGAGTAGACCGAGCCCTGCAGTCCCAGCTTCTGTCAGGGATAAAGGGGATGCTTATACGTAAAGTTGTCCCTGCCAATAACTCATGTTTGTTCACAAGCGTGAATGCTGTGATGACAGACGGTGTCGTAGATACAGCATGTGCCAAAGTGATGCGTCACCTTATAGCAGACATAGTGTGTGGAGACACTGAGTATTATAATGCTGGATTCCTCGGGGAAACCTAACGAAAGCTATTGTCGCTGGATACTAGACGATCAGTCGTGGGGTGGAGGAATAGAGTTGTCAATTTTATCTCGTTATTATCAAGTGGAGATTGATGTTGTTGACACACAGACTGGGAGAATAGATAGGTTTGGGGAAGACAAGGACTACTTAGAGCGTGTACTGCTTATCTATGATGGGGTCCATTATGACGCGCTGATTCTTGAACCAACAGACCCAAGCAGACAAATCGAAACAAAATTCCCAACTTCAGATGAGATGGTGCTTGCACAAGCTATGGAGCTAGCCGCTGAGGCGAGGCTAGTCGACAGTTCACGGATGTTGCCAATTTTTCCCTCCGCTGCCTCATCTGCCAAGTGGGGTTGAAGGGAACTGATGAGGCTCAGAGCCATGCTAAATCTACTGGCCATGTAAACTTTGGAGAATACTAGGATCAAGACTTGACCATGGATTGTTGTGTATGTGGTGCAGTCAGGTGTCCACAGGACGTCTCACTCTATCTCTTCTCACTCTTGAAATGGAAAAAGTAGACTATTTATCATTGCATGAATGTTATTTAATTTATTTTTTAAAATTATAAAATAATGTTTTAATCCTGATTTCATTCATCATGTAATTCTTCTTTTGTTCTTGGTTGTATTTATTGCATTATTTGTATGTTTGGGCATGATGGACATGAAGTGAATAAGTGTCTGATATTTGTGTGTCTCCAACAAGCATGATATGAAGACATTGAAGTCCATTCCTGGAGGAAGCTCATCTTGATATTGAAGTCCTTTCTAATAACATGACAGTGGTGCACCATATGTACTGTTATGGACCATATGAACTGTCCTGGGCCACATGATCAGCAGTGTGCGAAATTTATGCTGGTCCTGTGGTCCCCATCTAGTAAAAAATCATGAGGACCACTTAGTGATACGTTTGTAGTGGTCCTTGTGGCCAATGAATTTTGTATATATAGTTAAGTAAATTTACGAATGTTATTTTTGACCAGTGAAATACAGACAGGACCACTAATTATTGTCCACTCACTGGTCCTGTGGTCTAGTGGGAAATTTTGAAAGGTTTCTTTCCCTGGATCAGTATGTAATCAGTGAATTTCTGAAACATAGACAACAGCATGTCATCCAAACATGATGGGGTAGACTATTGCTCATATCAAGAATCCGTGATCCCGACGTGATTATTTATTGGCCACTGTTGTAAGGGTAGAATGTTGCTGAGTGGACCAACAAGCAAACATGTTGATATTGTGTATGTATGCTGGTGTGTGCATGAGTTTTGTAGCAAAAATGCTTTGAATCTGTAATGGATGCCATTTTGTAACAAGTTCTTTTTCAATCTAATCCTGCGTTAGAAACTTTATATTTAAAGAATCTTGCCCTTTTTGTACATCTTCCAGCTGTTCAGCAAACTGTGCACCCTATGTATTGAATGATCAAGTTCCAACCTGTGTATTTCTATGTAGCCATGGATGCTAGTGACTGGTCATTGAATGGCATTGTAGCTTCTACTTCAGGGGGCGGTGGGGTAGCCTAGTGGTTAAAGCGTTGGCTCGTCACGCCGAAGACCCAGGTTCTAATCCTTACATGGGTACAATGTGTGGAGCCCATTTCTGGTGTCCCCCGCCGTGATGTTGCTGGAATATTGCTAAAAGCGGCGTAAAACCAAATTCAGTCAGTCAGTCTACTTCAGGACTTAACAACATGTCTGTACTGAAATACATCTTGGTACTGTGCATTGTGGTCATAGTTAATAATTCATGTTCTTGTTTTCTGTAATGTTTCTTTGAACATCTGTGTCAACACTTTGATGATTTTTGACAATCCATACGTTCATGACAAGATGAATTTTATCCCTTAATAACTGTATATGTTTTTGTTATTTACACAGTTCTTACCAACAATGACCAACAAACAACACTCACATCTGAACTTCTACCATGTCCATGCCCTTACCAAGTGGACCAGTTGCCAAACATTTCTAGCCAATCAAACAGATATTCAAACAATTAGGAATTGAGAAAGGGATATATTTAAATACAACAATGAAATTCCTATTGTGGCCAAATACCATAGTCATGTCAGCATCTGAATTAATGAAATGTCTGTCCATAGTTATGAGTTAAGCATGAAAAGGAGAATTGTTTCATATTTTGTAAAACCAGGCATTCGTGGACTAGTCTCAGTGCTGAAATGTTCTATACAGACTTGTATCCTGGAGAAGTATTAAAACCTGACAGGGTGGCTTTGAAACAGTTTTCTCAGCATCATCCTATGCTGTTGGGCTACGCCACAGTAGTGAAAAAACAGCCTCTGTAGTCGACTGTGATGAGGCTGCCATGTGATGGTCGGGAAATCTGATGGTGTCAGATGAAGTCTATGACAGGTCAGGACAACCATGTGTTAATCTGGCCCTGGTCAAACGGATAGTCCTTTAGTCCAGAGGAGACACATCACTCAAACAAATAGTCTCTCAGCACATTTAGGATGCTGCAGTATTTCTTCTCATATCAAATGTTCTGGTTATTCAAAATCAGTTGTGTCAAAATGTTATATTGCTATATTTATCTTGGTATTCTTGTTGTTATGCTTATTTGCATATATAGAAGAATATTTTTTTCACAATGCTTCCAAATGTTTTATACATTATATATTATATGTTAGGTTAATAAATTGTGTTTGACGATACACTTTGTGTGGTATATATCCTTAGGTTCACTGTTTGTCTATTGCAAACACTCTGAGAGCAGACAAACAGTTCGTAACGTTCGAACCCACGTCGAGTGAACGATTTAACCACAAGGCTACCCCACCGCCTCTAGAACACACAAATGTATGGTAAAGACATACTGCTGAGACGGTTATGTCTTGGTGTATACGATGATATGCATCAACCAGGGGTGGATCCAGGTTTTCAGTTACATGCGACCAACTATATGGACTGGCTGATAGAATGCCTGTCCAGAGGTAGGAGGTGTGATCTGTTGCGTGTCAAACCTCAAAACATTAAAAAATGGTATTTGCTGTGAACCGTCTGACGCTTGGCACAAAAGGCACAAAAATATGGTCTTGTTTTAGAGTATTCTGTGTGTGAGTGGGATATCAAGGTTAATCTGGAGCATATTGCTGGGCTAGTACTATAAAACAGGCACCACTCACAACCTCTGTCCAGTGTGAAGTCATCCTTGTATAAGACACCACTCCTGCATTGCCTGAACATCGTAGAGATGCCACCCTAGAAGGAAGATGGACTGATGGACGTCGGTCTCTTGCTGTTGAAGAGGCGGCGGTGACAAGTTGCTGGTGTTTTCTACAGAAGAAGCACTCTCAGCGTTACAGCAGAATGATGCCCACTTCATGGATGGAACTTTCTTTTCGTGTCCAAGACTTTGGCATCAGTTATACGTGATTCACTCTCATACTGACAATATTATTATTCCCTTAGATTTCTGTCTTTTGCCTGATCGTCAGCGGGCAATTACTGTACTCAAGATGCTGTTCAACAAACAACTGGCAGACCTCTTCAACCACTGACTATCTAGGTACACTTTGAATACCCTGTTCACAAGGCTACCTCTGATGAGTTCCCTAACACATCTCTGAGAGGCTGTTGCTTTCATTACACACAGTGTTTGTGGCGCAAAATTCAGGACCAAGGGCTTGTGACAGCATACAAAGAGAATCAGGACTATTCTGACCTGTTTAGATCTCCTGTAGCCCTTCCTTTCTTACCTCTTAGTTTGTCCAAGACACCTAGTTGAAGACCATGAACCAAGCACCAGACATCCGAGGCTGTGAGGCATTCAAGGACAACGTTGTGAGTGTGGGGGTTGATGACAATGCACGTTTCCCGGTCCCTGTGTGGCACCATTCTGAGACAGACGGCCCGCGAATACATAACCATGATAGAAGGTTTTCAGGCACAGCCACCCTAACATCTTTGAGTTCATTGAGGCAATCAAGAGAATCGAGGCAATGAACAGGAGAAGGATTGCCCAGCTGGACCATGGAGCTCCTGCACCACCCAGGAAAAGGATGTGTACACAGAGAGCTAGATGCTCGCCTCAGCCGTTTACAGGATCAGCACCGGAGAAGACAGACGTCGACTATAGTCTGTCTCACAGTCCCTGAACCACATTATTTTCCCTACTGCCAAGCCCTCTCTGCAGTGCTAAAGCCCTAAATGAAGCAAGTCTAGATTTCCTCAGGTTCTGAATCTCTGGTCTTTCTAGGGCTCCTTTTCAGTATAAATGGGCTTGTTTGTTACTATCAAAATTATATATATTCAGAGTCTAAGCATTAGTCTAACGTCGACTATTGACTTTCTTCGTGCTACAGGCTGGGTGGAAAAACAGTATTGTAAATTCCCTTGAACTCTTCCACAACAATGATCTATGTAATAAGCTGAATACATATTGTATAAACCTGGTACAGCTATAATTGTCTTCTAATACATGTATATCATTATTATGATGGACCAGTCTACATGGTGGAGGGGAGAGAGCTAGTAATTAAAAAACATTTTACTGCAACAGATTGTGTATTGGACGGGTAGTCAAACTGGGAGCAGTCATAGTGGGAGTGAACCGTCTCGTCTAGTACAAATGATCATACACGCACACACTTGCATTCACTTCGCGTAGTAAGGGCAATCATTTCGAAGAGAGGGTATCCCACATGTAGCCTCTATCATAAACATTTTCTTGTTTCTGGATTAAAACAGGTATTATCCCACTGAGGCGCGGCATTTGATAGCCAAACGAATTATTCTTTTTGGCGTTTCCATAACGGACTACAAAACAAGACTAGCTTAAAAACCAACCATAGCCGCTCTCTTCTGTGTTACTGTCATCAAAAGGCTCGCCATCAAATGGCCTTTAATGAAAACATTGTAACATGGGAAACAGTAGTTTGTTGTCCATCACAAAAACATATTAACTTAACCATAATATATTTTCGCTGCCTAACTCTCTGCCTCAAATCACAGGAATATGTAGCTGTACATAAATAATCATATAATTTCCTGTATGTCTCCAATACGAGACCGTGGAACGTAGTCTATCACACAGACCCTGAAACAAACATATCCAAGAAGAAAGCGCTTGTAAGTCGAGATTATGTGGCAAGTCGAGATTATGTGGAAAGTCGAGATTACCACAGTTTCAGGAAATTGAAGAAAGTCTGTGGCTCCTTTTCACAAGAACCGTATTTTTTATTCTTTAACATGCTCATTTCAGAGACTATATGTTAGTGCATTTGGAACGGTAAACATAATAAACATGTAATTGCGTTTTTATACAGCAACGCATTCCTGTGCTCAAATATCCAACGTCCCTTGAGTGATGCTATGTAACAAACTTGACATGCCTGTGTAATATTGAGATGTGCGTCGCCAGTCTTATTCCCCTGCAATCCAGGCGTCACATTACCTCCCCCACCTCGCGTTTGTCAATATTTTACATTCAAAACTACGCGTTCGGCTTCAAATGAAATTTAGAGACTATCAATTGGTCTAACATTCATTAAATTTCCAAACACAGTACGTTTATCTCCTAAATATTTAAAGATTTTTGTTTCACGAAGTTGACACGAAAGGAAATCGAATATACCGATGTTGACAAAACACAGGCGAAAATATTATAACAATTAAAAAAATCACCATAGACAATAACTCAAATTCGAGATAAAACAAACCCCGGTATCACAATGGTTTTGATATTTTTAAAAATACGTATATCAAATGAAAACGATATAGCTTGTAAAACACCTCGCCAATAACATTTGTAAACTCAGAGTGAGGCCTGACAAATATAAAGTCGATATTTTTATAACTTTAGAGAAAACTTTCGTTCTTCATTTATATGTGTCCGACACTTGTGAAGATCCGCGTCACACTTTGTTTTCAACAACCCACGTTTGTCGTAAGACCTAGGTGACTACATTTTTCGGTTCTATATATATGCGAGACCTGATAAACATAAAGTTGATATTTTTGTAAATTTCGAGGTAGTTTATGTACATGCTTGACAACGATACAAGAATATGTATCGAAACGTCGCATCATCCGAATAAAGAAGTTGTTCATCCATAAAGTTTTGTCCTTATCTGATTCCCCTCTAAACATGCCACTTAATGAAAAAAGGTAATCCACATTATATACGTTTAACCATTCCTGTGAAGCGACACACCTTCATTTTGGAGGTTAACACATTTAGCCGCATTTCTTGTCTCGCGATTTTAATTGCGCAGTTTGATGATGTAGTGAATGAGCTATTTAAAGCCCGGTTTGTAAGAATATTCCTTCGCAAAGACAGGCCACGCAACATGATCAAGTTGACGAGCGCATACCGAGGCGGAAACCAGTTCAATGTTCCTTCGCGCATATCTAAGGACTTATTTGATTGGACAACATGACACGACTTCATTGTTACTATATTTAGAAACTGTTTCGGTTTGGAAAATCCCTGTCCGTGAGAAGCAAACAGGTGAGTGTGCGTCAAGAACCAACGTAGCATTCATGACGAACCCGTTATGGAGCGAATACGTTGATAGATTTCAAATCAACGCATGTTTAACTATATGTAACTCTAAAAGACCCGTCATTTCTTTCATTTTGGTAGATTTCTTTTCGGCTCATATCGCGCTTTCTGGAACGAACCAGTGAACGACAAAATGGCGACGTTTGGTCAACCTAATGCAAAGGAACAAGGCAAAGAATCCATAGTTGATGATTTCATGTATGGTTCTAATGTCGCCAGTGCTCATGTGTACATACGGATGGGTGAGTAATTTCTTTATGTCGTGTATTATTATTCCATATGGACATTCAATTTTTTTGCCTCTGTCAATAGCGATTGACACCAGATAACAGGCTGACAGCTATCCACGCACCAGCTGGCGAATATGTGGCTTGTTTTGTTGACAAGCCGTTTCCGGGTTTAGAAGAGATAGAATATATGCAGTATTCGGGCAACATCCATAATTGGGTGGTGGTAATGTTTTCCAGATGCGTCACGCTTGGCGGATCACGACCGACAAGGTTTCGTTACTAAGGATGCAAGTCTGGTCTGAACTCCCAAGTCTATGCATACATACATCCGTAATTTAGGCAGATATGTACACATTTTAATGTATAACTTCATCTGTTAGTTAAGTTAGAGCTTTCAAATTTCTATTATGTGTCATCTTACCCTAATTGCAGGAATCATTGATTGTAAAATCAATCACTGGATTACCATTTAAAGGCCAGTGTCATAAAGCTGGAGCATTGCATAACAGAGCTTTCTACATGTTCAGTTTGTGGACATTTGTGTGTGTGTATGCGTATAATGTATGGTATACACGATTACAGGTACAGTTGTCTTACAGAGCCTGTTAAGATATTTACTGTTATGAGGGGAAAGCAATGAAGTAAAATATGATGTTTCAGGCTTTCTGCGGAAGGTGTATGGGATCTTGACCACTCAGATCCTCCTGACAGTCATCGTCTCAGCTCTGTTCATGAGCAATGAGGGAGTCCAGAAGTACATCCATAGCAAGTTAGTATAGTTTGTAACTGTAGCAGGGCATGGAGTCATCCCACAGATGACATCCTTACCTTGTCAGCTTACTGACAGGGTTGACCTCTTTGGCCATGTGGACAAGGTGTCGACTACGGATCAGAAGATCCGTGGTTCGGAATCCCAGCGCCAGACTTTACAATTTTATGGCTGCAGATCGAAAAGTCATATTTCTATTTCATATTTAAGCATGATGTGTGTGATGTCAAAACTTTGAATACAATGTCACGCTGTGATCAGGCCCCAAAAGAAATATGTCTGTTTCAGGTTACCCGACCGACCCTAAATCTTTTTTTTTAAAGGGCCACTGATCCAGAGCAATTAATGTTTCCAGCCAACAGTCTAATTACGAAACCTAGCAGCAAACTGGTCAGCCCTTGCTCCCTCGACCGTGACGGACACAGGGACTGGGCTACTGTCCACCTTGGCAAAATTTCTTCAACCTAATCAGTGGGACATTAGGAAGGGTGGATGCGCATCAGATGCCGTTATTTGAAAAATACCCCGGTGGTTCTTGTTTGTATGTAATAAAGTATCCCAGCAGTGTAGGCTTTTCAGATTTTCAAATGTTTGGATGGTGTAGTGACTGATCCAGTTTGATCCTATTTCTGTGTTTTTACTTGATATTTAATCATGTAAATATATGATGTCTATTACATATGCTATGATATATTTGAATCCATAAACTAAACAACCCCACTTTGCCATTGCTAAAAAAAATCTGAAATTTTACTTATGTACATATGTATATACAGTTTTTAACTAAGTACGCAGCAAATGCTTATATATATTTCTTATGTAACAATGAAGTTCCGTTCGTATCCTCAAAACAGTATCGGCCCATATATTTTTTTCAGGCAATCAAACTTTCATGCAATACAGCGATTACTACTCTGTTGCTGTAACCCTTGTTTGGTGGTAAACCTACACATGTTATTTGTCATGATTCCCTTGATGGTCAGTTAATGAATTTATAACAGGTATAATTAGTGATAACACCACTCAGATTACCCGACAAAGGTTCCCATTTGGCATTTCTTGTGTTTGGTGTAAATACTCATCATTATAAATTGAGGTCTGATGTGGCAAATGTATTACATCTTATGTAATATACTCATGGAAGTGCAGTAACAGGAATTATCAGCTGAGTTACAAAACAAACATTGATCAAAGGATTAACCGATAACACATTGATTGATTAATTGCTTTTATCCTGCACAGTGGATTTGTCAAAAGGTAGAGTTTGTGTATGTAGATTTACTAATCTATATTGAATACACCCTGTCGTAAAGCCTCTTTGTAAAAACAGCGTCCTTCCTACAAAGGATTAACCGCTAATACATTGATTGATCATTATTGGCTAACTAAATTACTTTTTTAATGAATGGCGGACATCATGCAGTTAGTTGCCAGGTGGGCTATCTTGGGTAACCAATGGGACTATACACCAGAGTGAAAAACCTGAAACAATAGACCACTTTTCGCATATTAGACTGTTAAAAGACACATGACATGGAACAGGATACTTTCAAGTCAGCTGCAGATAAATGGCAATATGTGGATATTGATGGATACATTCCCCGAACAAGGTAATAGCCTGATATTGTTATATTATATAACTTTGGTCTGTTTTAATTTAATATTTGCATTTTCTTTTTATTTATTTGTTATGGCATTCAACAGAATCCTTTTTTTAGCCGTGAAGTGTAATGAGACAGACAACATACACTAGGTCGCACTTAGGGCGTGTGTCTGAAATATGATACACGTTGGCAATCTAGTATAAGATGTCAAGATGTTACAGTCATGTTATAAATTTACTAAGTATAAGCAGATCGTGTGCATTTTATTAAGTATCAAAATGCATACAAATATAATAATAAACTAATTAGGATTATAAGACAAAATATAAAGACGTACATTGACTTTGTTATTTCAGTCCTAACATTTATTACCACTGGCAGATGTTTAAACTTAAAATGTTTTCATTTGTTATCAAAATAATGCCAGTTAATACAACATTCAGATTGACTAGTAGTGAACCCAAGCTCACTACTCTCCCCAAGACTCCCCATGTTAGTTAGCCTTACTTTCAAAACAATGCTATTATATCAGGCTTCTCACCAAATTCAGGTCAAACTATTTCTTAAATCAAATTCTACATCCATTTACGTTAACATTTTTATAAGAAAAATCAAAATTTTACATCAAAATCAGCATTTTTATCAAAGTGAATATTTTTCTATAAGAAACCAAATTATTCATCAAAGTCTACATAATTTTACAACAAAATCAACATAAGATTATCGAGTAAAAAAGATTTCATCTTTGTTGATCAGTCTATGCTTATACTATCAATTGCACATGAGGGTGGCGCCAGCAGAGGTAACGAACCAGTCATGAATTCTGGGATATCATCCAGGTACTCACTGGAGAAAAACAATAACAAAAGCAACAACCAGTCCACGGAAATTGCTCTGGATCAGTGGCCCTTTAAGGTGCATTTCAACTCATCATTTTCATCTTTTCATCCAAATCGAGTATGATATATTCATGTTTTACAGTGTAAGTAGGGCTAAAATGGATTACATTGAATTGGCATAATGGGCTCTCACTGACAAAAACTGCAAATAAATAGCATAAATAATGATTTGATATAGAAATCTTTCAATGTTTCATCACAAGGCATTGTAACAACATAATATATACTAGACACATAAAGAAACTGTGCATTGTCAAAATATTATCCCAGTTGATAAGTACGATAACAATGTCAAAGGTACATATAAACTTTAATGGAGGGATCATGAGACCATAACAAGTCAGGAGAATTTCAATTGAAAAGTCAATCACAATGACGTTACGAGTCCACAAACGCGACAGGCGACAGGGGTCAAACGACCATGTCACAAGCTCAATAACGGGTATGTCCACCATCGGCATTGAGAACAGCAGTGCATCGACGACGCATAGAGCCTATCAAACATGCAAGGAAGGCTGGTTGGATGTCACGCCAGATTCTCTCAAGTTCTGTTGCAAGGTCAAGGACGTTATCTGGCGGATGAGGAAGACGGCGTAGACGTCGACCCATCTCGTCCCAAACATGCTCTATTGGGGAAAGATCCGGTGAATTTGCAGGCCAAGGCAGTAAGTCAACGTTGTGGTTTTGCAAGAAATCCATAGCAACCCTTGCCGTATGAGGGCTGGCATTGTCCTGTTGGAATGTTAACCCAGGGCCATGACGCTGCAGAAAAGGAATTGCCACAGGTCAAAATCTGATCCCTGTAGCCCACACCAGTTAAGTTGCCCTGAACAATCACCAAAGGAGTTCTTTGGCGTGCTGTTATTCCACCCCAAATCATCAATGAACCACCACCAAAGCGCGATTCCTCTCCAAGGCACAGGCCTGTGCATAACGCTCTCCCACGTCTATAGGCATGTTGACGCCCATCACTATGGGAAATGTTAAACCTGGACTCATCTGTAAAACAACATTTCTCCACCAAAACAAGGGTCTGCGGACATGATTTCGGCACCACATTCGGCGAGCTTGTCGATTACGTTGTGTCAGGATAGGCCGCATGGCGGGACGTCGTGGTCTGATCCCATTGTCGAACTGTGTTGGGGTGGATATGGCAAAGTCCTGGGATGGTTCGGGCAGTCATCACTGCAGTCTGAAACCTGTGGCGCAGATGGGTCACCCTTATCTATCTGTCCTATCTTGGCGTTGGTACACGTGGACGTCCAGAACGTGGCCGATCGATGACGTATTTGTGTTCTGGTAGCGTCTCACCAGTGCAGAAATGGTGTTCCGGTGGCAGTGGAAATGTGCAGCCACTTGGCGTTGAGACATTCCCCCACGGACCATCCCAATGGCCTCATGACGTTGTGCAGACGTGAGCCTTGGCATGCTATGCGTTTCAATAGCCGTTTAAGTTTTTGAACGATCGCAAGGGCAGGGGTTGAGCTTTCCAAAGTGACAATATTGTGTGGCATTCATATGCTCTGTTTCTCTTTCCCAGAATGCACGTGCAACAACGTATTGCACGTCTCAAGGACGAACCCACTGACGTCACGGAACGTGGCACGTGCATGCATGTTGGATACATGTCACTAATCTCTGAGTTTAAATCCTTATGTGTCTACACAGGTTTGATAAATTTAGAGTTTAAAATTTTTGTATGCACAGTTTCTTTATGTGCCTAGTATATAATATGACCAGAAATTATTGAGAATTTTAGGAATATGATTAATTGGATTTCTAGTATAAACAACCTTGACCAGCTATCAAGTGCTTGGTTTCATTCAAGAGAGACAACTTCGTTAATCCTTTTTCATTAGTTTGTGAAGAGTTATCCCCCTTTGTTTACTTGCTAGCGGACGACATTTTCAGTGATCCTCAGTATGGATGATTTAGAGAAGAGGAAGTTGATTTTAGAGTATTATAACAAGGACATCAGATCAGCTAACGTGATTTCAAGTAGAACAGGCATCCGTTTGTCCACTGTTTATCGTGTTTTGAAAAATATTGCAAATGGATATGGCATTGAGCACCGGGGAGGCGCAGGTAGGCCCAGAAAATTGACTGTCGGTGACAGGAGGCGGCTTGGTATTCTTGTTTCTAAAAACAAACGAAGGGGTTTAGAAAACTTAGGCTGGATATGATTGATAGAGGAACTGTGGCTGTCTGTAAGGAGACAATTAGAACTGAGCTGCATGCAATGGGTTGACAGAAAAGTCGAGGAATTCCATCACTGATCATGAAACCTGAACAAAAGGAGCGAAGGTTGAACTGGTGCTTACAGCATAGAGATTTTAACTGGGACAATGTGATTTTCTCAGATGAAAGTTGTGTGTGGCTGTTTCCTAATACACTGAAATTCTCGACCAAACAAACTGAAAAACCTTTGTATGAGCGCATAAAGGACAGTCCGAAATTTAACGTGTGGGGTGGCATATCTGTGTTAGGGGCAACGCCCCTCTGTGTATTTGAAGGGAATATGAACAGTGAGCTGTGCACAGATATTCTCGAGAGACATTTACTTCCATCTGCTCACGTGTTCTATGGAAATTTTTGGATTTTCCAGCAGGACAACGACCCGAAACATCATTCAAAGCATTCACAGGCCTAATTTCGGACCCAAAATATGACATTATTAGATTGGCCAAGCTATAGCCCTGACCTAAACCCAATAGAAAATGTTTGGGGACTTATGAAGGAAAGTGTCAATAAGAAAAATCTGACAAATATAGCTGAAATGAAAGAAGAGGTAGTCCGGTATTGGGACAGCATGGACCACGACTTTCTAACTTCTTTGATCAGTAGTATGCCCTTCCGCATTGAAGCTTGCATTGCTGCCCATGGTGACTTGACAAAATACTAACTGTTCACCTGTCTTTGAATCTGGAGTTATGTTCTGCTAATATTCACATTTAATACGTGAGTAATGAGTGAAAATTAAAAAAAAAATTACAATCTTTAAATTCTCAATAATTTCTGGTTGTACTGTAGTACCCTTGAAGACATTCTCGGGTACCCACCTGGTGCTACTTAAAAATATATAAAAAAGTATAATAAAAAAAAGATAAAATCGACTCACCTACCCTATTTTTAAAAAGCATGTAATAGGAAACAGACATATATTTGGGGGGGGGGCCTAAAGATGGCTAGACTGACAGACATTTTCTTTTGTAACAACTCCCCCAGACCCAAATACATTAAGACAGCATGATTAAATCACACATCGTGGAGTAAAGTACAAGGTCATAACAATTTCATCCATGAAAATTGGTATGTAGTATTTCTAAGTTCGAGATGTCTGAATATCATGTGAAATGTCAGTTGTTAAATAACAGTCTGTGTTCGACAAAGATTTTGAACTGAACATACTAATAACATTTAAAAGATAAGTCCATTAGAAAGTGTAAGTTTTGATACTGATTTTCTGATATATTTTGGTGAAATTCATTAAGGAACAATGTTGTAACTGTGATTCAAAAGTTATGTATCTTTCACAATACTTGATAAGTTCATAAGCAGAGGCTCTGACACTTTCTCAAAAGTCACAACCTTCAGGACACTAAAAGTGTTCCAGATAATATCTGATGAAAATATTTTCTGAATTAATAGAAACTGGTTGTGAGTCGCATGCAGTGTCAAGTATCTGACCTATCTCTGTAAACATGAAATCCCCTGATTTCACTATGAATGTTTTAGATACTGACATTCACTGCCATGTGGTTCTATCAAGGGACATTATTCCAACAATATCATCCTTTTAATCATCCTGGTATCACCCTTGTAATTATCATTGTATTTCTGAACTGTTTCCTTCTTTCAGTCAGTGGATGATGACTGTGTCACTGTTTGGAACATTCATTGCGATATTTGCCTTGATGTGGAAAAGACATGAGACACCAACAAACTACATCCTGCTGGGCGTGTTTGTGAGTTATCCTGTGTTCATTTGTATTGAGTTATCCTGTGTTCATTTGTATTGAGTTATCCTGTGTTCATTTGTATTGAGTTATCCTGTGTTCATTTGTATTGAGTTATCCTGTCTTCATTTGTATTGAGTTATTTTGTCCACAGTTGCTTTGAGTTACCTTGTCCAGAGTTGCATTTCTATCTGTCTACAGTTGCATTGTTATCTTATCCAGAGTTGTATTGTTATTTGTCTACATTCCATTTCTGTCTACAGTTGTATTGTTATTTGTCTACATTCCATTTCTGTCTACAGTTGTATTGTTATTTGTCTACAATCCATTTCTATGTATTTGGAGTATTTAAAAAACTAGTCCGTGGTGTAGTGGCTGGAGAGTCTTCCAGGAGACTGGAAGGCCGATGGTTTGATCCTCAGCTGCATCATACCAAAAAGGGGCAGTGGGGCAGCCTAGTGGTTAAAGCGTTCGCTCGTGACACCGAAGACCAGGGTTTGATTCCCCACATGAGTACAATGAAGCCATTTCTGGTGTCCCCAGCCTTGATATTGCTGGAATATTGCTAAAAGCAGCGTAAAACCAAACTCACTCGCTCATACCTAAAAAGGATTCCAAGGTGGTACTTGTTGTTGCACTGTCTGGTGCCTGATGACGTAACGTGGACTGGTGCACTCTGAGTCACTGGACCATGTCAGAGTTGGGTATTTGGCTAACTGCAGTATGGACTAACAGTGCATAACCCACATTTGTCAAGATTAGTTCTCCTTCTCTCACTATTCAAACCAGGAAGTAATAACCATGAATTATAAAATGGTCTCATGAGTTTGTTAAGACAGGCGTCATCTTTCTATCATACTAGTGTTCGTGATGATGTTTAATTCTGTCCAACCAGTGTGTTCTGTTGGTGATGTATGTGTCTGTTCTTGTTTCAGACCCTTCTGGAGGCATACACAATTGGAGTCATTGGTATGTTGATGAACATTTTGGGTATTGCTTCCTTTCAACATTAGTCAGTTAAGGGCTAGGCATCCATTTGTTGATGATGCATCACAGTGGAATATACGAACATAAAGGTGTTCCCTTGTCGTAAGAAGGAAATCAAATAGTGATGTTGACGGGTGTTTGTTAAAGGGTGAACATGTCGTGCTCCACTAGTGGCCTCTGTCATAACATTGTGCTTTTGGTCATAGTCTTTATCTTCCATTCTCACCTCTAATGTCATGAGGGTGGTCAGGTAGCCTAGTGGTTAAAGCATTCACTCTCCTCATGGATACAATCTGTGAAGCCCATTTCTGGTGTCCTCTGCTGGAATATTGCTAAAAGCTTCATAAAAATAAACTCACTCACTTACTCCAGTGTCATGCCCAAAACTACATATTCAGATGCACAAATTTACATGTATGTGGACCTCAAACTTTGAAATATTATTGTTAAGAATTCAGAAACTTAGAAATGTATACCAATAGCCTAGCACCTCTGAGATGGCCATTGACTTCTGTTTCTCTTAAATAATGGAACCCGTGAAGATTCAGGTTAGAATTGATCTTCAGTAACCCATGTTTGTTGTAAGAGGTGACTAATGGGATCGGGTGGTCAGGCTCACTGACTTAGTTGACACTTGTCATGGTATCCCAGTTGCATAGATTGATGCTCATGCTGTTGATCACTGGACTGTCTGGTCCAGACTCGATTATTTACAGACCGGTGCCATATAGCTGTAATAGTGCGGCGTAAAACTAAACTCTGTCACTCAAATAATGGTAACTGTTTCTTTATATATATTTCATCAACTTGCTGAACAATGTACATTTTAAGGGCTTCATAGAACATAAAGTTTAAGCTGCAAGATAAAGATTTTTAGTAAATTCTCTTGGTTTTTGCATTCCAGTCACATTTTATACGGTCTCGTCTGTAATTGAGGCCTTTGTGTTGACCTTGGGTGTCTTTGTGGCCTTGACCCTCTACACACTTCAGAGCAAACGAGACTTCAGTGCTTGGGGAGCAAGGTGAGTTCAGGATACCAGTGGAGCCATGGTGACTCAAGTCTCCAAACTATACACATGATACATTTTTTAAGGTAATGTTAATTTAGGGTCCATATTGACCCGCTTTGCAAACACTTGTTTATGTCTAAGGAAGATGGAAAGATGAATTGTCTCAGCATACAAACACATGAGTCATGTTCTTCCATGAAGATAAGGGTAGAAGTTGTCTTCAGCCTTCAGGTAACAGGCTCGATTGATGCATGTCCTCATACCACAAATGTGTAGATTGATGCTGATGTCAGCCTCTGGGTTTTCCTGTTTCAGATTCAGTTACTTACATACAGCTGGGGTATAGCAGAATGCATCATTAAGAAACAAAAATAATTTGCATAATGTTGTGAATGTTTTTTTTTGTATTTCAGTTTGTTTTCATTCCTATGGATCTTGATACTGGCAGGGTTTATGCAGGTGAGTGAAGAAGAGGTGACAATACCTTTTGCTGATGTGTTTTATCTTACAACTTGTTCAATATCACATCTAAAGTGTAAAAGTGATACATTTTTATGGGAGTTGTACAAGTGCAGTAATCTGTTTTTTACACGGTTTACATGGTTTGTCTTTCATTATCTCAGTGGGGCATTAGACATCACCCAATGATCACAAGTGAAGTCAGCCAGCTTCCTGCATCATACTTGTACGAAATGTGTGTGTGATAGGCGAGTGGTTATAGTGATTACTATATCATGTCAGAGATTCAGGGGTTTATTTCCCAAGTGGGTACATTGTGTAGCCCATGTCTCCTGCCATGGTACTGCTGGAAGATTGCTGTCAGTGGTGTAAAACCTCACTCACTCCATCACTTGTACCTTGTATAACCCTGCACCAAGGTCAAGAGCTATCTGTAGCATGGTGTAAAACCTCACTCACTCCATCACTTGTACCTTGTATAACCCTGCACCAAGGTCAAGAGCTATCTGTAGCCCATGTCTCCTGGTGTAAAACCTCACTCGCTCCATCACTTGTACCTTGTATAACCCTGCACCAAGGTCAAGACCTATCTGTAGCCCATGTCTCCTGGTGTAAAACCTCACTCACTCCATCACTTGTACCTTGTATAACCCTGCACCAAGGTCAAGAGCTGTAGCCCATGTCTCTGGTGTAAAACCCTGCACCAAGGTCAATCATCTTGTACCTAACCCTGCACCAAGGTAAACACCAATCTGTAGCCCATGTCTCCTGGTGTAAAACCTAACTCGCTCTATCACTTGTACCTTGAATAACCCTGCACCAAGGTCAAGACCTATCTGGTGATTATGAAGGTGATGATGAGGCAAAATACCGTAGACAAGATCAATAAAAAAATTCCGAAACACTCTAAAACCAAAATGTACACATGTGAATTTGACTCAAGCATATTAAGATGCTGAAATAAGCCTATTGTAGGTTTCCGTGACCTTCCTATGTTATCTGATCTCGCTTTCGCTCGGTCAGATACCATAGGAGGGACACTCATTTCGTATAATTCGTATGTAATGAGACCTCGTGTAGTATTCTCTATATATTTCACATCACTGATGGGTTGCAAACAAAACATCAGCCTGAACATAATTTAGAAGAAGACCATGATTAAAACCTAACTTTGTGTATTGTGTGAGAAAATTAAAACTTTATTCTATCACAAATATTTATGTACGATAGTATCAGTAACACTATTTTCACATCAACGATATTTCTTATTATCAATCTTTTTAGCCAGTATCATATCATGAAAACTTCCTTAAAATGATTCCGCACCTATTGTGTCATGCTTGTGTAGATCCTGTTCCCATCTGTGATGATGGACAAGGCAATTGCTGTGGGTGGAGCCCTCCTATTCTCTCTCTTCATCATATTCGACACCCATCTCCTGATGCACAAACTGTCGGCGGAGGAATACATTGTGGCTGCTGTCAACCTGTACCTCGACATCATCAACCTCTTCTTGCACCTGCTCAGGCTCTTCGGCGAGAGGAAATAGTCCTCTTGTAGAAGGGGGTCTATATATATTCACGATGTTTTTTCTGTATGGCACGTGGGTTCACTACACCATCAAATCAAAGTAATTAATCTAAAAAATAATCAAGTTCCCTTAAACAGTGATACTTTGAGATATTTTTTCTTGTGTATGTTTTCCTTCAGTAGTTATATTGCCAGTCAGTTTGTGAAGAGCCTCATGATGGTGTTTTTGAAAACACAGAGCCATGCATATTTTCATCACAAGTATTCGCCTGTGTGACCTGGCTGCTGGTGTGCGATGTCAGTTGTCTTGCTATCAACCACTGGTTTGTGGGCTACGTAAGGTGGCGCTGGAGAAGTACTGACACTGAAAGTAATGCTCTTCTACGTCCACTGACTTCCTCTTTGCCAAGTAGGACAAGAGGAATGGATTTATATGCCAGTAATGGAAACGAACCCACTTACCATACAGGCTTCAAAATGAGATCTTTTATGCATCTTTTGCTAATTTCTGTTGTACTTTCATATCACGCACACCAATCTAACCAGTGGACTATCCAGTTTATGCATACAGAACACTTCTGCTCAATTAAGGCTTGCTTATTTTATACTCACAGTGTTTTTTTTATTATCAAAGAATAGGACTTTTAGAGTAGGAAGCACTGTGCCCAATCATGATCTGTAAACAGCTGCAGAGTAGAGGAATCACCTTGTGCAAGAAGACCCAGTGCAGGCTACATGTTTTTATTCTGGTGAGGGCAAGGTATGGGATTCTCAAACCAGGTCATGATTTAAGATAAAAATATTACCTGGGGTGGGGTTTTTTTCAAACAAAATGGGTTGCTCCTAATTAACAATAGAACCAGAAAAAGGTTTTCAAATGTAGTGTATAAGATCTTGTACAGTACTGAAGAATAATTTGCATAATGAATGGCTTGTGTGCCCACTATAGATGATTTTTTAAAACTCAAAATCATACTCTGAGCACTTTCTGTTATTAAAAACTTGAAGATGCTAAAATTTTGTCAGTTACAATTTGGTTTTGATGTCATGTAGGCTGTGGTTAATTTGATTGTTCTTTCTCTGTTTGTATCTCCACTGAACTAACCTCAATGTGATTATTTACAAAATCTGTTCTGGGGGTCCTCATGTGTGACCTCTGGGCAGGGCCCGGGAGGGGGTACACTTGGCTGGGCCTGGCAGGGGGTCAAATAGATTATTTATGTAAATCTATTGTTCTGTACAGAGGTATATGTTGGAAATAAATATTATTGTACTGTTGTTATGCCTCTGTTCCATTAAGAATTGCTGGTGTGTATTGGGATTCAAGAAGAGAAAACTTGTGCCTCCCGACTCTGTGGACCACCTGACATAAGAAGTGTCAGACTCGCTGTCATCCTTTGTAGGGATGGAATCAGAGGCAAACTGAATCAGTTTTACTGAGTGTATGGCTTTCAACATGGGGGAGATTGGTTAGCTCATCTCTTTTGTAATAAGTTTACCATAACTTGTCGTATTCCTCAATTTTATCGATGTAAAGATTGTTTTCAAAGCTCTGTGTGTTTCTGCTCATTTCTACATCACTGGAACTACAAAGCCTCTGGGCTGAACAAGTGTATGATTCATCTCCTGTTTTCCCAGAAATATAAGTGGCATAAAATGTTTTTTTGCTCCTAACAGTATGTAGCATTGTTAACAAATGCATCATGAGTGGCACATCTCTTGTATGCCTGCCTCTGAAAAAGATTGATTCGGAACATAATGGATTCCAGAATTTTTGAGTCAGAGTTCAGTCTTTATGAAGGTAATTAGCATTGTCATTGAGCATTAGGCTGAAAACACATCTTTCCAATATGGCAGAGATGGAATAGCCCTTTGGTTGATTACACTTTGCCTCTCTGAGAGTCTGTTTGCGTCTTCATAGATCTGAGTGTGAACTGCTACATCCTGGAGTGACACAGGGATCTGTTCTGGGTCCACCACTCTTTGTGTAATATACAGGCCCTCTGGCATACATAACAGTTACCACAGGATCTCCAACCATGCTGACATTGATGTCTACAGTATCAATACATCAACTCTGTAACACCCGTGAAGGTCCGGGTTAGAATATACTTTTAGTAACCCAGGCTTGTCGTAAGAGTCCACTAACGGGATTCGGTGGTCAGGTCGCTGACTTGGTTGACACATGTCATCGGTTCCCAATTGTGCAGATCGATGCTCATGCTGTTGATCACTGGATTGTCTGGTCCACACTCGATTATTTACTGACCGCCGGCATATAGCTGGAATATTGCTGAGTGTGGCGTAAACTGAACTCGCTCACTCAACTCTGAAACAAAAATCAATATAACCACCTCACCTTGAGTTTTAGGGGGTATGTCAGAAAAACCTTCAAACAACAATGGATTAAACAGACAACTTCCAACGGTGAAAACCTACTTGACTTTCAGTCATGTGAGTTAACGATTTGAACAAAGTCAGTGACAAATGTGTAAAATCAAACTTTAATAATATAGAATAAGTTCACTGTCAGTGTTCCACTTGTGTCTTTGGAAAAGGATCCTATTTTTCCATGTCTGACACATTGGAGAATAGGACATGAATTGTGTTTTTCGTAGATCCTGCATATGTTCATGTGCAATTGTGTGTATGTTTTTTTGCGTTATTCTTTTCTCTGCTATTTCCAGCAATGTAGGGTAGACTTGTCAATGGTCAAGTCTGGGCCTGACAAATCAGTGATTGAAGTTATGACTGGCATCCCAAACCATCTGTGTATGAAGACTTCAAATACAGATTGGTCACCGAGTCACCCATGTAATCCATGTGTATGAGAAGTATTGTTGCTGGGGATCTATTCTGTTTATTCTTACTTGAGTACATTATGTGTGGACATCATGATACAGTGATGTCTTAAAGAGCCTATTGTGATGTCTTGCCTATTGTGATTGTGATGTCATGCCTATTGTGATGTCTTGCCGATTGTGATTGTGATGTCATGCCTATTGTGATGTCTTGCCTTGATGTGATGAACAGTAAGAACATTCACAAGCAACTCAAGATATTCAACGGTCTCTGAAACCTTGGAAACACTACATGGAAACCAAAATATCTCTGAATACATTTTGCATCAGTAATATGTCCTGGCTTCCTTCTGTCTTCAGTTCACCTTCACATTAATCCTGAAATGTCTGTCCTCAAGATTTCTCAACTATGTTTGAAGCTTTGGACGTTCTCTTTAGAGACAAATACTTGTGCATGGATCATTATTTGCATGTGTTGTCAGTTTGTGTCATTGCTTTGAGTGCTTGTGTCATCACTTACTGTGTCATGACTCTGTGTAATCAGTTGTGTGTTTGTGTCATTGGTTTGTTTGACTGTGTCATCAGTTTGTGTGTTGATGTCATCAGTTTGTGTGCTAGTGTCATCAGTTTGTGTGTTGATGTCATCACTATGTGTGCTCCTTTCCTCCTTATCTGTGCCTGTGATTTGGTCATCTGTGGAGTGATCACTGCTGTCTGTGTCCTCACTATCCTCCTCACTATCCGTTTCTCCATCAGAACTATCATCACTATCTGCATCTGGTGTGGCCTTCATTGAAAGTTTCTCCAGTTTTCTGACAATTCCTTCCTCCTCCTCCATCACTGCCTGGGCTGCTGCCTCAAGCTCCTCCAGAGACAGATCAACATCACTTTTACAAATATTTATCTGAAACAGAATTCATCCTGTTAGCTTGTCCTTGAAGAGAGATCTCTTGATCCACATGCACATACTGATCTTACTGCTGAGATCTCCCATACTTTAACATAGGTCTTAGTTTCAGTGTTAGAAGAAATGTCAGTGTACACTTTAATCCAGCGGATCTCCATCAAACGGTTGTGTAATTGTTTGAGTGAGTGAGTGAGTTTAGTTTTACAACTCACTCAGCAATATTCCAGCTATATGGAGGCGGTCTGTAAATAATCTAGTCTGGACCAGACAATCCAGTGATCAACAGCATGAGCATCGATCTGCTCAATTGGGAACCGATGACATGTGTCAACCAAGTCAGCGAGTCTGACCACCCGATCCTGTTAGACGCCTTTTGTGGCAAGCATGGGTTGCTGAAGACCTATTCTACCCCGGATCTTCACGGGTCGTGTAATTGTTTGATCAGCATTCTCTTTGTGTTTGTGTGTAAACACTAAAACCAGCTATATGACAGTGGCCTTTATGTAGTCAGATCTGCTCCATGTGTATCAGTGACAGAAGAACAAGATGACACACAATCACTAAGCTACAGAGCTTGACCACCTGACCCAAGTAAGTCGTCTCCTATGGCCTGCGTGGGGATGACACCAGGATCTCCCCGATCACATTCCCAAGTTTGGTACACTGTGTAAAGCCTGCTGTTGATGTTTCCCACCAGATATGGTTAGAGATGCATTTCAGAAACAGTCAACAATAATATTCTACCTTTCTCAATGCAGATGCGAGGGTTTCCAGTTTCTCGTTCCTTCAACAGAAACAGAAATTCATAAGAAACAATTAGATAATTCAACAATTATACAACCATAAACATTAAACATGAGATAGAATAGAGACAAGATTGATTAACAAAGGATGAGATCTTTCTGCTTTCTGTGTTCAACTGTCCTCCAATGAGTGAAATGCTACAAATGTTTGTTTCCTAGTTCCCAGTCACTGTACCTGATGCCTTGGATCCACACACAGTAGTCATTGATGTAGAGGTCATTCAGTATATACCGTTGTTCTGTGTCCGTCAAGATTGTCTGTACATCCAGCAGACACTTTAGCACCTGTCTGCGACCTACAATGAGTAAGGTGAGGTGAGGTGAAATTGGGTTTATCGTCGTGCTTGAGAATATTTCGCTCATATGACGACGTGCATGCGTGTGTATGTGTATGTGCGGCTGCTTGTACTAGCCCAGACTGAAGCTGGTTTTATAGTGCTAGCCCACTGAGATACCATGCCGCAGTGAAGCATGAATACCCCACTCAGACACATTATACTGACTCCGAGCCGACCAGTCCTTTTTGTACCCATTAATGCCGAGCGCCAGGCAGGGACCAACAAGTACCATATTTTAAGGTCGTTTGGTATGACGCGGTCGGGGATCGAACCTGCGACCTTCCGCTCTCAGGGCGGACGCTCTAACCACTACACCACGGAGGCGGTCTAACGTGTAAGGTGTGTCCAGTACCTCCACTGGCAGTATCTAGAACCACAGGCCTATCTAACCCAATCATGTCAAATATATACAAAACACATACAAGCATCCAGGGAGTGGGTGAGTTTATTTTTGCCGCTTTAAGCAAAATTCCAACAATATCATGGTGGGGACACCAGAAATGAGCTTCACACATTCCACACATGTGGGAAATCGACCTCGAGTCTTCAGCGTGATGAGTGAACACTTTATCCACTAGGCCACCGCACTCGCCCTTACAAACATCCAGACGTACCTAGTGACAGCACCCTGCAGGTATCCTCCCTCACAGTCTCCAGCAAACTCCAGTGTCGGTGCAGGGGGAAGCACAAGCACCTTCTGTAGCAGGTCGCCATTACATCCTGCAGGCTGGAGAACGTCTACAAGGAACAGGATAAGTATGGATCAGTCTGAAGCAACACTCACAGGGCTGTAGTTACAGACTCTCCCTGAATACGCTCTTAGTTAAGAGTCCCACTTTAGAGTGTAGTTGTATAAGCTTTGAGGTAGTGGGGTGGCCTTGTGGTTAAAGCATTTGCTCATCACAGGTTCAAATACATGGTTACAATGTGTGAAGCCCATCTCACAGTTTCAAGCTCAGAGACAAATCTATACGTATAGTTTTCAGTGTTCTCTATCACAGACATTTACATGTGAAGCATATTTAATATCATTTCCACATTACAGTATTGTCAAGTTTCAATGGTTCATCTTACTTGTTTGATTAACATGACACACCAGGTGTTATAGACCTACCTCCAGCCAGGACAGTGTGGCACTCAGCTTAGAGATGGTCCAGCCTGACTCCACCTACAACATGGAGACCAAACAGGCGTCAAAACATTACAATGTTTCCAATGTAATTTCTAATGTATGGTGCTCTGGCACAAGCCTACATAAGTATAGCATCTGGGATATGGACCTACAGAAGCCATTCATGTACTGTACACCCGACCTACAGAAGCCATTCATATGTTGTACAACCGACCTACAGAAGCCTTTCATGTACTGTACAACCGACCTACAGAAGCCTTTCATGTACAGTACACCCGACCTACAGAAGCCTTTCATGTACTGTACACCCGACCTACAGAACCCATTCATGTACTGTACACCCGACCTGTACTGTACTGTACACCCGACCTACAGAAGCCATTCATGTACTGTACACCTGACCTACAGAAGCCATTCATGTACTGTACACCCGACCTACAGAAGCCATTCATGTACTACAGAAGCCTATTCATGTACTGTACACCCTACCTACAGAAGCCATTCATGTACTGTACACCCGACCTACAGAAGCCATTCATGTACTGTACACCCGACCTACAGAAGCCATTCATGTACTGTACACCCGACCTACAGAAGCCCATTCATGTACTGTACACCCGACCTACAGAAGCCTTTCATGCTTTACATGTACTACAGAACATAGAAGCCATTCATGTACTGTACACCCGACCTACAGAAGCCATTCATGTACTGTACACCAGACCTGTACACCCGACCAACAGAAGCCTTTCATGTACTGTACACCCGACCTACAGAAGCCATTCATGTACTGTACACCCGACCTACAGAAGCCATTCATGTACTGTACACCCGACCTACAGAAGCCATTCATGTACTGTACACCCGACCTACAGAAGCCATTCATGTACTGTACACCCGACCTACAGAAGCCATTCATGTACTGTACACCCGACCTAGAAGCCAGAAGCCCGACCTACAGAAGCCATTCCTTCAGAAGCCATTCATGTACTGTACACCCGACCTACAGAAGCCATTCATGTACTGTACACCCGACCTACAGAAGCCATTCATGTACTGTACACCCGACCTACAGAAGCCATTCATGTACTGTACACCCGACCTACAGAAGCCATTCATGTAGCCACCTACAGAAGCCATTCATGTACTGTACACCCGACCTACAGAAGCCATTCATGTACTGTACACCACTGACCTACAGAAGCCATTCATGTACTGTACACCCCGACCTACAGAAGCCATTCATGTACTGTACACCCCTACAGAAGCCATTCATGTACTGTACACCCGACCTACAGAAGCCATGTACTGTACTACAGAAGCCATTCACTGTACACCGACCTACAGAAGCCATTCATGTACTGAAGCCATTCACACCCGACCTACAGAAGCCATTCATGTACTGTACACCCGACCTACAGAACTCCATTCATGTACCTACAGAAGCCATTCATGTACTGTACACCAGACCTACAGAAGCCATTCATGTACTGTACACCCGACCTACAGAAGCCATTCATGTACTGTACACCCGACCTACAGAAGCCATTCATGTACTGTACACCCGACCTACAGAAGCCATTCATGTACTGTACACCCGACCTACAGAAGCCATTCATGTACTGTACACCCGACCTACAGAAGCCATTCATGTACTGTACACCCGACCTACAGAAGCCATTCATGTACTGTACACCCGACCTACAGAAGCCATTCATGTACTGTACACCCGACCTACAGAAGCCATTCATGTACTGTACACCCGACCTACAGAAGCCATTCATGTACTGTACACACCTACAGAAGCCTTCTACCAGAAGCCATTCATGAACTGTACACCCCGACCTACAGAAGCCATTCATGTACTGTACACCCGACCTACAGAAGCCATTCATGTACTGTACACCTACAGAAGCCACAGAACACCATTCATGTACTGTACACCCGACCTACAGAAGCCATTCATGTACTGTACACCTGACCTACAGAAGCCTACACTGTACACCACCTACAGAAGCCATTCATGTACTGTACACCCGACCTACAGAAGCCATTCATGTACTGTACACCCGACCTACAGAAGCCATTCATGTATTGTACACCCGACCTACAGAAGCCATTCATGTTATAATGTACACCCGACCTACAGAAGCCATTCATGTTATAATGTACACCTGACCTACAGAAGCCATTCATGTTATAATGTACACCTGACCTACAGAAGCCATTCATGTTATACTATACACCTGACCTACAGAAGCCATTCATGTTATAATGTACACCTGACCTACAGAAGCCATTCATGTTATAATGTACACCTGACCTACAGAAGCCATTCATGCAAGCCATTCATGTTATACTATACACCCGACCTACAGAAGCCATTCATGTTATAATGTACACCTGACCTACAGAAGCCATTCATGTTATAATGTACACCTGACCTACCAGAAGCCATTCATGTTATAATGTACACCCTGACCTACAGAAGCCATTCATGTTATAATGTACACCTGACCTACAGAAGCCATTCATGTTATAATGTACACCTGACCTACAGAAGCCATTCATGTTATAATGTACACCTGACCTACCAGAAGCCATTCATGTTATAATGTACACCTGACCTACAGAAGCCATTCATGTTATAATGTACACCTGACCTACCAGATCCATTCATGTTATACTCTACAGAAGCCATTCATGTTATAATGTACACCTGACCTACCAGATCCATTCATGTTATACTCTACACTCGACCTACAGAAGCCATTCATGTTATAATGTACACCTGACCTATAGAAGAAACTTACGTTGTGCTCCCCTTCCGTAACTCGGTAACTGTACATGTAGCAGAAGATTACATCAACCAGGCTCAGGTACACAGATGGAAGCATACTGCTGTCAATCAAAACTCCATATCGTCAAGGAAACAGAACAAGAGATGATACTGATGTTATCAAAGACCACTGTTGTTAGGGAGCAGTGTCACAATGTTTCAACTGTTATACATTGTACCTGTAGATTCGGGGGCGGGCAGTGGTTCAACTGTTGTACATTGTACCTGTAGATTCAGTGAGGGGCAGTGGTTCAACTGTTATACATTGTACCTGTAGATTCAGTGAGGGGCAGTGGTTCAACTGTTGTACATTGTACCTGTATACAGTGGTTGTACCTGGTTCAACTGTTGTACATTGTACCTGTAGATTCAGTGAGGGGCAGTGGTTCAACTGTTATACATTGTACCTGTAGATTCAGTGAGGGGCAGTGGTTCAACTGTTATACATTGTACCTGTAGATTCAGTGAGGGGCAGTGGTTCAACTGTTATACATTGTACCTGTAGATTCAGTGAGGGGCAGTGGTTCAACTGTTGTACATTGTACCTGTAGATTCAGTGAGGGGCAGTGGTTCAACTGTTATACATTGTACCTGTAGATTCAGTGAGGGGCAGTGGTTCAACTGTTATACATTGTACCTGTAGATTCAGTGAGGGGCAGTGGTTCAACTGTTATACATTGTACCTGTAGATTCAGTGAGTGGGCAGTGGTTCAACTGTTATACATTGTACCTGTAGATTCAGTGAGGGGCAGTGGTTCAACTGTTATACCTGTAGATTCAGTACCTGTAGATTTGTACCTGTAGTTCAGAGGGGCAGTGGTTCAACTGTTATACATTGTACCTGTACCTGTAGATTCAGTGGTTCAACTGTTATACATTGTACCTGTAGATTCAGTGAGGGGCAGTGGTTCAACTGTTATACATTGTACCTGTAGATTCAGTGAGGGGCAGTGGTTCAACTGTTATACATTGTACCTGTAGATTCAGTGAGGGGCAGTGGTTCAACTGTTATACATTGTACCTGTAGATTCAGTGAGGGGCAGTGGTTCAACTGTTATACATTGTACCTGTAGATTCAGTGAGGGGCAGTGGTGTAGATTCAGTGAGGGGCTGTTTCAACTACATTGTACCTGTAGATTCAGTGAGGGTAGATTCAGTGGTTCAACTGTTATACATTGTACCTGTAGATTCAGTGAGGGGCAGTGGTTCAACTGTTATACATTGTACCCTGTAGATTCAGTGAGGGGCAGTGGTTCAACTGTTATACATTGTACCTGTAGATTCAGTGAGGGGCAGTGGTTCAACTGTTATACATTGTACCTGTAGATTCAGTGAGGGGCAGTGGTTCAACTGTTATACATTGTACCTGTAGATTCAGTGAGGGGCAGTGGTTCAACTGTTATACATTGTACCTGTAGATTCAGTGAGGGGCAGTGGTTCAACTGTTATACATTGTACCTGTAGATTCAGTGAGGGGCAGTGGTTCAACTGTTATACATTGTACCTGTAGATTCAGTGAGGGGCAGTGGTTCAACTGTTATACATGTACCTAGATTCACATTGTACCTGTAGATTCAGTGAGGGGGCAGTGGTTCAACTGTTATACATTGTACCTGTAGATTCAGTGAGGGGCAGTGGTTCAACTGTTATACATTGTACCTGTAGATTCAGTGAGGGGCAGTGGTTCAACTGTTAGACATTGTACCCATAGATTCAGTGAGGGACAGTGGTTCAACTGTTATACATTGTACCCATAGATTCAGTGAGGGGCAGTGGTGTGATTTGGACCGATTGATCTGGAAGGGGCTACAAGGACCTTATTCCAGAATCATCTGCCTGAGAGAGGCATATAAGGGAGTCATCTCTCTTTACATCTCAAGTTACCAGAAGATCAGCATTGTGTGTGATGACCATCAAAGCCTGCAAAGCCCTATCTTCCACGTTGTACTACTGTTGCCGAGAGGTGAACTTCACTTTTCCTGTCTTTACTGCTATAATCACCACTCTTGTATTATATTGCCTCTGAATTTGTACTGATGTAGTGATGACTTCATACTGATTTGTATTAATTTGTGAACTTAGTTAATTTTAGAATACAATTGTTAATTATATTTCTTTGTTGTTGTTTTTTGTCACACCCAGAGAACTTTTATAGTTTCAACTTGGGCCCAGGACTATCTTCTCACTCTGCTGAAGAAGGATACATTCTTTGTTGGGAAGCTTCCTCATCTTCTCCTTCTCTTCCTCTGTCAAGGTCACTGAAACCATCAGTGGAAAAACTGTACAGTTCCACTTGTGAACTTCCGCATACAGAAAAGAAGACAAAGCAAACCATTTTTGTCTGAATAAACTAGCCTGGCTAAAGACTTTACTTAAGTAGCCTCCATGAATTTAACGCAATATAAGAAGCCTTATAATCTTGATTGTAGTCACTATCAGTGCCAAAAATATTTTTTTTCAGAAAACACATACCCACCTACCCACTGACCATCATAAAATGCAATCAGAACTGTACAATTAGTCCTTGTAAATATTGACCTGGGTTGCCAGATGGCACAATAATAACAATGGCTATTGATAAAGTGCCTGTTTCCACGTAACTGTGCATGCTCAAAACACACTATAACTGTATAGAACCCAGCCCTACCTAACTCTTTCCTCTTCCCTCCCTTGGACAGCTGTTTCCATGCTGCATCCCACGGCGGCCTGAATGACAGCAGATGCTGTACTAAGTCGTCCTGGTAGAGGTCCGCTCTGTCAACACATCAGATGCAGACATAATTAACCTCTCGTGTAACATTCTTACGTAGATCAAACGTATAATGGGATACATGACATTGAGTGAATGAACGGGATGAAGATCAAGGTCAACAATTCAATATTTTGTTGCTGGCTGCAATAAGCTCAGATTCCACAAATTCACCAAACATAGGATCATGGACCTTTGTAACACTTCATCACACGGTCAGTAATGACAGTGTATGAAATAAGCCAAAACTCCAGCCAGACACCAGGGCTGGTAACTTCAAAATGTTACCAAACTAAAATGGATTTAACCAGACCAAATATGGTGAATTTACTCAGATGTATGGAACATCTAAAAAAATTTACCAGACCATCGGGCTGGCTAGCTGTAAATTTAGACCGTCCGTCAGAAATATAGATTGTCTTGGGTGGTCGGACGGGCCTTATTTCATACACTGGTAATGACACACATCATTACAGTTGTACATGGATGAGATAGCAGAGGTACAGATAAGCTGCGTATCTGCGTAAATTACGCAAATAGTTATGTGAAAACTCAATTCTTATTAAGTCTGTTGCGTACAAGTATGCTTGAATTTTTGTAAATACTCAATAAATGTGATCTTACATGCGTACACACACAAATGTCAAATGTTAACTTGCGTACCCCGGGTTTAGATAAATTAACTGAGGTTTTTTGAGAGGTTCTATTTCAGGACAACTTGCAGTTTCTCATAATACAGATAAAATATATATAACAAACACCAACATTTAAACTTTATTATATTTCTATAATTAATGGAAAATGGCAAAATACCAGTACCCAATTGAGTTTGAGTAAGGTGAGTACAATTTATTTGGTTACTCAAAGGAAAATTAGGATACCCAATTGAAATGAACACAAGTGAGTACATAATTCAATGACCCCAAAAGTTATCTGTAGCTCTGAGATAGTAAAATTAGCTCATGTATTTTTGTTTTTTAGCATAGCTACCATCCCCAGGAGAGTAGCCTGGAAATAATTGATGGATCACACAATCCAATGATTGACACTGAGAGCAACAATCTCCGCTGACAGGATAACACACCAGTAACTAGATCAATGAGCCTGACCATCCGATCGAAATAATGCTTATAAAGTTGCCCTAGAAAGTAGGGACTAGTGTTGGGAATTGGTTGACATCTCACAATTGATGATTGCTTCATTGCCAACGAACAATCATCGAAAAAAATTGGTTAGCGTGATTTTTCAGATTTTCCTATCCAGGTTGTTATTGCAGATATGTATAACATGATGCAACTTGCTACTTTAAAGAAATATTCAGTCATGACTTTTCAGTTAGTGAAGTGAGTATTCTAACAATTAAACAAGTTTTCAGGCCCTGATAACTTCGAAGACATGTTCCATCATAAAGTGTTTCAAAGACTAAAACAGCAGTTCCAAAATTGTTTGTGTTCGATTAATAGAAAATATGATCGATTGCTTGGTCGTTTGGTCACTTCGACCAATCTTCGATTATTTCAATTAATCGGAACACCACTAGTGGGGAGTGGTTCTACCCTTGATCCCTTGATGTGAAAAACACAGATGCTCACAGGTAGTGGTCGTCGTCAAACTTGTGGGACTCCTCCTCCTTCCTCTGTGCTCGCCTCTCTTCTGGAGCCACTGAGTCCGGGTCTCTCAGGTCCACCACCTCACACAGCTCCGACTGGGGTCACGTGGAAAAGTCATCATTAATACATATCAAGACTGATATTAGGGATCAGATATTATGTGATGGTACTTACAGCTTGTTCAGCTTGACCTGAGCTACTCTACATATGCATGACCCGGGAGGTAAAATGGCACAAACGGCTGGTCGAGTTTACACTTAGTTAAATAGGGGAGCAGAGAATGTTATTAATGTTGCTGCTCGCTGCCTAAAAGCTCGGATCGGAAACATTAAACCATCTGTAGCTTCTTTTTTAAGTTTAAAGAAAGTTAGGACATTGCTGGCGATTTCTCGACACTGAGATGTCAAATAGCGACTTTGTCTCGGCTGTTCGGACATGTTGACAATCAACTGACAAAGATGCACCCTTCACAATAATAGACCCAACCAGTTGTGACACGGTCACGAAATGCATTAGTATTCACTTGATCAGGTCATGCTGAACAAGCTGTAAGCTTATCTGTGTAGGTAAATGCCATCATAAGGAGTAATGTACAAATATATGTTTCATTAGTCTGAAAGTTCCAGCATAGATGTGGTGTAATAAAAAATAGGCAAATGTTTGAAAAGTATCCCGAGCACATGTCAAATCCCCAAACAACCTGAACAACTACCAAATGTCATTAAAGGGCCACATGATAATTTTCAACATCACTGATATGCCAGCATTTGGACATTTGAATTGAAACCTCTTAAATATCTGAGTTATCATTGGTGGGTACAAGCATGTGACATTCAGGTTCACTGGTTTAATGGTTTCTGAAGATGTAATGTTTACAACACAAGAAAATGGACAGGAGAGAATAGGCAGCGTGCAGACACCTACAGCTTTCAACACCTTCACATTTTTTAAATAAAATGGTCGATGCAATAAATAGCTTCTTCAACACAGCTGGCACGAAACAGTGCCAAACTAGAGCTACCAGAATGTTACAGGTGCACTGTGCAGTCTATCGTCAGTGTGTGAAACATGTCATACATAAAGTACAAAAGAAATATTTCAGTTGTTAAGCTATCTATTTCGTTATTCATTTGATATAATTATAAACATTTTATGATATGCATGGGATGAGACTCCAAAATCTAAACTCTGAAATCAGACTGACAAGACACCTTCACTAACCCTGTTCCTATTATTGCAGTATCTTCACATACCCCCATTGCATCATGAAAACAATTATTTCATTGTTTATATCTGTAGTTCAAAAGTATTTTATGTCATACAAAGATACTACATCAAAATACCTAGCTCTACCAATAAAGAAAGTAATGATGAAAACAACTTTGTAGATGCCTACCTGCAGCCTCTTAAAGACACCAGATCTAAGACAGCCAAAGCCGTACTTGTGTCCGTCTGCCAGAACTGATGTCTCCATGAATGGCGTCTGCTCCACTGACCAGTCAATATCCTCCTCATCGGGAAGGGCATCACTAGGCAGAATGGACTCCTCACCTGTGAGTGAGATGGAAAACTTGGTTCAAGATCACTGCACTTTACAGCGATGAACACGCACACGTGTGTATGGTTGCACATATTGTACTGGTCTCGAATAATGGTGGTTCAATATCCCACAATTTGAATATGAATACCCAAATCCGACACAGTAGACTAACTGACATGTTTTATCCTCTTGATGCCATGCTCTAATCAGGGTATCAAAACTAACATCTTAATATGTTTTGGACATAATAAGACCAGGGAATTAACGGCTGAGTGAATCATATCAGTGTCTTTGTGTGCAGGCCATTTGGTGTCTGACTGTGTGGGTGGGTTCAAATCCTGGACAGGACTAAACCCTCAAAACTAAAGCACAAGAATTGGTACATTAGGAAGAAAATGTTAACCCAAAATAACATTAGTTACCCTGGGTACATCTGACCACTTCCTAACAAGGCATCTTGTATCCATGCTATAATAGTTTAGTGCTCCTTATTTAGGTTACACTTTCCGACAGTAAGTTCATCTACCAAACATTATTTGATAAGGTTAGAGCCACATTAGACAAAATTACAAATAGATGGGAATCCAAACTAGACATGCCAATCTCAACAGACTTTATGTCAAAATGTTTTTCTATTATCAACAACTGTTGTGTTGATAATAAGACAAGAAACTTTCAGTACAAATTCTTCATCGCATTTTAACAACACAAACTTTCCTTCATTATATAGGGATATCTGACAGCAGTCACTGCTTTTTCTGCACTGAGGAACCAGAAACACTTGAACATCTTTTCTATGATTGCAGGAAAACTCAAAATCTGATGAGACAGTTTCGAATATGGTTTGAAGAAACAACCAAGACGAAATTAAAAATATCAAAATCAATTATCTTACTTGGAGACCCCAATCAAAGCATTCCATTAAACCATTTGTATAACATTCTCAAAATGTATATTTATACATGTAAAAATATAGGAACAAAAAAAAAAATACAATGAAAAATAAAAAAGGTTACAGTTTCCAAACATTATTCTTTCAGCTCATCAATTCATAGCATATATTTAGTTGATGAAGTGAACTAGATTTGTGTGTACCCATGACTTCAATGGTGGGCTGTTTAGCAGATCCATCTCCTCGTGGTGCCAACAGCTTTGTGAGCATGTCCAGGCCATCGAACACCTGTCCTGCAGTCTGTTTGGCTGCTCGGATTGTGAATGTACCTAGAGCAAGAAAGACTCTAATTAATGCTTGGTGGCTAAAGTGAGTGGGCGAGTGGGGTTTATACTGCTGTCAGCATATTGCAGCAATATGCTGGCAGGTGACCCCAGAAATGGGTTCAATACATTGTACGTATGTGGGAAACAAATCCCTGCCTTTGGTATGAAACGTACATATCAACTGCCAGGAGACCCAATGTCTCCTCTTCAACTGAAGCAAGGCCAAATACTATGCTCTTTCAGCCTTCAAAACGGAAACAAGTTCAGCTAGGTTGTTGTCTTTTAAAACTATGATATCTGATTTATTAATCTTTTGGTTTCAAAATTACATAAGAATCAAGCAAACACTTCAAGCTGACACCAAATGTAAGGGAAGTAAACAAGTCATCATAAAACACACAAACACATAATAACATCACATTATTAAACACATGCCATAACCATAAGCATAAGCACATGAAATCATGTCACCAAACACCTGTCATAAAACACATCCTACTAATTACCGGACACTCACCTGCATCAGCATCGTAGTTGGCTGTCTCTCTACCATCTTCTACAATGTTGCCAGGCAGATTCAGTCTGTAGGTGAAAATAAACAGGCAAATAGTCACTTGTACACAACATTCCACTAAGAATTTGTTGTTTATATTTTATTTGTTTCTTAATCCAGCAAAACACTCTTATGTTTATATGATATACAGGGGTGGAAATAACTCATTGCCCGATGTCCGAGTCAAGTCTTTTTTTCTGTCGGGCAAGCAAACTTGTATATCACACTGTACCGGTGTCCAGTTGACTTCCAATGTTAATTATGTTGTTTATTTTAAAAAATCAACAAGAAAACTGACGGTATAGTGGAAAAATTATCAGGGCAAGTGATTTTACATGTGCCACTGTTCCGGAGTACACTAACAATTTTAAAGTTATTTCCACCCGTGATATACTGTAGCTATTTAAGTGAAATGAAGTGTAAATAATGATGTCGGGCCACTCAGTTCATTTAGTCACCTTTTACAACCATTACTACTATGAACCGATTCTCACTAAGGTAACCCTAGTTCATATGAATAAACTCGTATTCCAGCCAAGGCCTACATCGAGTTGTCGAGCACACCTTGGTATAGTGCAAAGTCGTCTAGTTATATGCTGGACTAAGGTAACCCTTGAGTTATTTACTATTGCCGGAGAGGTTGTTGTCGGCACAGGTACAAAAAATATGTACCCTATGTAAGTTTCTGAATACAGAAATGTACCCTAAAGAAAATCAAAATACAGAAACATTCTCGGTACCCTGAATGTCAGAGGAGTCCATATCCTGCAACAGAAAACTGAAACAGTATGTAGTTGTTCCCTTTCAACTGACTGCAAGTAGTATTGTGCAATCGCGAAATACTCCTTACTGTGTATGTAAATGCATCTAATACAATAGTATTGCTGTTTCAGAATGTTAGCTAAATAACACTGTGCATGCATTTATATGTATTTGACAAGGTGGAACCGAAGCACATGTTGCTTTATTTGTTGTCTTAAGTATCCGACAATAGATAGTTTTAGTTTATATTGCGGAATGGATATGTTTTGATTATTGGTAGGGTACATTTCTGTATACAGGGGTTTGATATGGCCATCAACAGATGCTAATGTCTACAGAAAGTAAGCATCAATATATCCCCACCTATTATCATGCACCTAAATGTGATTTGTCATCTTCTTGAAAAGAAAATTAACGAAACCATTGAGTGATAAAGCAATGGTATTATCCTCAGCTGAATTCAGTAGAAGTCAAAGTGTGCCTGCTGTGGTATAATATCATACTAACCTCAAGAAATATGGCTTGGAGTAAAACTTGAAATCACTGTCTTCAATGAATATCTCTGTCTCTGACACCTGAAAATAAAAATAAAGACCTGGATGTTCAAAATTTCATATCCACAATGAAAGATAAATAGACCATTTTATTTTAGCCCACCCTCCACGACCTGTCGTACCAGTTCTTCAAAACTCTCCGCAATATTGGTCCTCGTCCTTTCTGTTGTTGACATATTAAAATATTGTTACATGTTTAGATGGAGAAACAAAAGTACCTTTGTGAATGGAGCTTTGATGACAATAGTTAGAAATATATCATCTTGAAACAACTCAAAAGATGGTGTCAACATCTTGAAAAGTAGTACAAGTACTGCTTAGAAACGAAGTAGTTTTGTCAGAAGATCACGTTGTTTTTATCCACACATGACACATGGAGAGCGCCATCTTTCTAGTTCCGCATAATCTGGAAATAGAGCTCGCGTATTGGATGATAAACACAATTTCCCTGCAGTGTTGGTAGTGGCTGTGCAAGGAGTTTCGACAAAAATATTTTGAAAGTCGATTGAAAATCTCATTCTCATAATTCGAAGTCGATGTATTCAGAACCCATAACCATAAAGGTTATGTTAAACATTCCAAGTGTATTTTGATCATGATTAACATATTCTGAACGTCTTCAATGTTCTAATCGGAGGAGTCGCCAGTAAAATGCCTACATATACTGATATAGAAATCAAATCCTGCCTGCAACTCCAATGTCAGTAGAAATGGCAGATATGCATTTAAATTAGCTCTAAATATGAACAAGAAAAAGCACCATAATTATTTCAGTGTGATGGTTTGATTGTAAAAGTATTACATGCATGCATTTTTGTTGTGAGTACGGAAGCACTCAGGTCTTGTTGAGGTACAACAGGCGTTCTAACTTCTGGCTGAATATAACTGTGTATGCATTTATATGTATATGAAGCGTTGGTTTAATTGTTGTCTTACGGATGCAACGATATATTGTTTTAGATATTTTCTTTGGCTCTTATATCCTTTTCACACGAGTTTCTGGGTAACCATACATAACACAAGCGAAAGGGCTGCCACCTCAGCGATTTGATCTGAAACGTTTTGCCATCGCCAGTAATCCCGTGACGTTTATACACATGGAGATTCCAAACTGCATCAGTGTTTCACAGGGTAACCCCGCAGTTTGAGCTTGGTTCGGCGCTCTTACCTCACGTTAAAACAACCTGTTGATCTTTAAATTTAATTCAAAACTGCTGTGACTGGAACTGACTGCATTACCACTCATTCTCTCAAACATAAACCAATCTCGAACTAGCATGACGTTTATGTTGGAAACTATTCTTACGTCAATCAAGATGTATAAAAGTATAAAGAATAATCCCTTTGTTTTCTTTTTAACCATGATGCATGTGTATGCATGACCCAACACAATGTACCATTCTTCTATTCACTAAGATAGCAATTTCCAGTTCATCCAGTGAGTGAGTGAGTTGAGTTTTACGCCGCACTCAGCAATATTCCAGCTATATGGCTGCGGTTCAGTTCATCCAGCCTAACTGGAGCATGCGTGTGTGTAAAGTGATATTGGGAAGTATGCCGGGCATGTTAGATAGTAGCTATTACATATACTTCACATATTGCCGACAATAGCATCGGTCCCTATATTTATTCTTTACTTAAGAACACACAAGTGGAGGTTACTACAGCGCATGGTTTGCATAAAAAAAGAAAGACCCATAGCCTCATAACAGATAGCGTTTATCATTAAATTGTTGAAATGACAAATATTAAAATGCGAATAAATAAGCGCAGTGTGGCTATTACACCTTTATACATTTCTAGAAGCTTAGAACAGTGTAAAGTGAAATTTATGACGTAAACAGAGTCGCTTTGCTTCGGATTCGATTTTCAAATAGATATAACTGAAGAACGATCATGGGGTATGTGTATTATACAAACATTCACTGTTCTGGAGCTCAGTGGTAATATTCTAAATGGTGATAAAAGCTCATTCCTTTCCTCAATGCTCTCAATAAAATCTCCCTCGTCGCAATTCCACATACTTCAGTTTCAGCGTGTGCGCGAGTGCGTGCGTGCGTGCGTGCGTGTGTATGTGTGGAAAATCGTGTTTCTGGAGAAACACTTGGATGTTCATAAACGCCTCTTTTGTATTAAAAATAGCTTAGTGCATGTTTATGAAAACCTGTAGTGTTTATTTGGCATGTACACACTTAAACCTGGCTGTGGGTGTGCGCGCGTGCGTGCGTGCATGCGCGCGCTGTGGGTTAGCCTTGTGATCGGGCCCGAACTCCGAATTATGCGTGCAGATGTACTGATTGAGATCATGAATTAACTTTGTGGGGTAATGCTGCGGTTTTAAAATACTCACCTATTCACCTTACTTCCTTTCATTTTAATGCCATAAATCATGACTTGAGTCAGGATAAAACTGACAACATAAAATAAAGTAATTCATATTTACACACCCACCTACTCTTGCCATCATGTCTGTGATGCTAGCAATATCGCTTTCAAAGTAGAGTGGTATATACACACCATCATTCAGCTGGCATGTGCCCTCAAATCTTGCCGGGGGCGGTGGGGTAGCCTAATGGTTAAAGCGTTGGCTCGTCACGCCGAAGACCCGGGTTCGAATCCCCACATGGGTACAATGTGTGAAGCCCATTACTGGTGTCCCCCGCCGTGATGTTGCTGGAATATTGCTAAAAGCGGCGTAAAACCAAACTCAGTCAGTCAGTCAAATCTTGCCCTCAATTAACGGTACATTAGCATTCCTACTCAAATGTTGGCGTATTCTCATATTAACACAATCTCATTAAAATCTTATCTTTTACCCCGATCCGATCAAGCCCATATGGTCGATTCCAACGAAAAGTGTACACAGCATGGGCCCGTAACATTTTAGCATTACTACCTTCATTTATTTCAGGGTGCCCATCACATCGGCACAAGTGAGACGAGTCGGGCCATATATAACATGACTATTTTAAGCTTATGGGAGGCAAAAACAGGCCATTTTTATTCACTTTGACTTTTATTCTACAAATGTTTTGTTGAAAAAATGTTGTGTATTAAATACTAGTCAAACTGGATGAACCGAAGTTTATTAATCTGATTGCCAAATAATTCATGAATAAATCCCCTGAAATGATTTTGTCAAGGGCTTTATTCGTAATTTTGGTAATTTGTTTTCAAGTGGTATTTTTTTGCGTTACCTACGAATACAGTTTTCAATGAATCTGACAATTTATGTCAATGCAACACAAGGTTATGTTTTGTATTACTTTTTACAGCATTAATATGTAAAGTACTCAAATGCAATGGCATTACATAATATTTCTTACAGGTAATAATCTTAAACAATGATAGAAAATTAAAGTCTGATTTGGTAAAAAAAATCACGTTACCTACACATACCATTAAATATGTTGCTGTTTCCACAGATGAACACATTAGTGAAAGATATCCTAAGTTCACGTGTAAAGGGCCACAATATATACGTGTGCTACATCTGAACATTTTCTATGCTGTTTTTACGAAGATATCACACAAAATAACCTGTATTCGTAAGTAAATTTTAACTCCCAAATGTTACCTACAAGTACCAACAACTGATCACATTCAAATAGATTGGTGGAATGACAACACGTGACATGTATTCCATTTAGGAGTCATCGTAGATGAGACCAGACAATATCTGGGTGATTAGTAAGTGTATTTTACATTTTCTGCAAGAATGTTATATAAATAAACCCATGTCACGATGACATAAGATGCATATGACACTTGTTACAACTAACCAACTTTAATTTTAGTGAGGTTTTAAGTCTTATTGTTGTACAAAAGGCCTCAGACTGCAAGTGGAATCGACATGGGGGCTCAAATTGGTAAGACATGGTGTCCTGCTGGGATTTCCCCGGTTGTGGCTCACAGCATTTGTAGATAAAATGTATTCGCTGTTAACAAAATGAAACAGAGAACACAATACGTTGCTAGAACATAATTTATACTGAAGACAATTATTGCAGATCATAAGTAAACTGATTAGGTAGGAAGTACTGCCTATTAATAGATTGAAATGGTTCCTTGGAATTCCAAATGGCTACATAACTGAGCGTTCAATAAAAATGTTTTATTCAGGGATGCACTGCAGTTCGTGGTTTAGACTTTATTATAGTGATATATAATGAATTCTTTTTGATTGAAATGTCAGAAAACAAGTTGATCTTGGTGCAGTCTAAGTAAACTTAGACTCAGTATTATTCGTTACACGGCTATACTCAGTATAGCAGTATAACAAATAATACTGAGCCTAAGTTTACTTAGACTGATCTTGGTGATAAAAGTAACAGTTTGCATGATATCACGGGATAAACGGTAGATAAGTAGGTAACATGTGTATTCGTTGGTAACATTCCGAATTTGTAGGTAACATCAGTCAGTGTGTTTGAAGTTGTAAGTCTTGTTCAGGGCTGTCACCGATGCACTTGCGAACATAGGAGAATTGAGACTGTAGTAGAAGTAAGTTGCATGGGTTTAGTAATTAGATTTGTCAAAGGTATGTCGTATTCGTAGGTAACTCGTTTTTGTAGTTAAAACTTTCTGTAAATGTCTATCTAATAGCAATTGTCATTGCAAAATATGGGTAATTAAGTGAGTGAGTTAAGATTTAACGTCACATCGGCAATATCTCAGCCATATCGTGACGAGAACAATGTCATTCATATCAATATAAAAAAAAAAAATTGAGAAAATATAAACCTGTCATCGAAGGACAGTAAAACTACTAGAATATCACAGGTCTTAATTTAAAACTAGTACGCTATCATAAAAAGATATCACTATAGACAACAATACAATATAAAACCGGGCTATAGATCACCAGCAACTGAAGGCTGATCACCATACCAGGGACCATGGGGACTTACAGTACAGTACAACCAGAAATTATTGAGAATTAACAGATTGTAATTTTTTAATTTTTTTCCCTCATTACTCACGTATTAAATGTGAATATAAGCAGAACATAACTCCAGATTCAAAGATAGGTGAACAGTTAGTATTTTGTCAAGTCACCATGGGCAGCAATGCAGGCTTCAATGGGGCAGGGCATACTACTGAGCAAAGAACTTAGAAAGTCGTGGTCCATGCTGTCCCAATATCGGACCACCTCTTCTTTCATTTCAGCAATATTTGTCAGATTTTTCTTATTGACACTTTCCTTCATAAGTCCCCAAACATTTTCTATTGGATTTAGGTCAGGGCTATAGCTTGGCCAATCTAATGATGTCATATTTTGGGTCCGAAACCAGGCCTGTGAATGCTTTGAACGATGTTTTGGGTCGTTGTCCTGCTGGAAAATCCAAACATTTCCATAGAACACGTGAGCAGATCGAAGTGAATGTCCCTCGAGAATATCTGTGTACCGCTCACTGTTCATATTCCCTTCAAATACACAGAGGGGTGTTGCCCCTAACACAGATATGCCGACCCACACGTTAAATTTGGGACTGTACTTTATGCGCTGATACAAAGGTTTTCAGTTTGTTTGGTGTAGAATTTCAATGTATTAGGAAACAGCCACACACAACTTTCATCTGAGAAAATCACATTGTCCCAGTTAAAATTTCTATGCTGTAAACACCATTTCAACCTTCGCTCCTTTTGTTCAGGTTTCATGATCGGTGATGGAATTCCTCAACTTTTCTGCCAACCCATTACATGCAGCTCAGTTCTAATTGTCTCCTTACAGACAGCCACAGTTCCTCTATCAATCATATCCAGCTTTAAGTTTTCTAAACTCCTTCGTTTGTTTTTAGAAACAAGAATACCAAGCCGCCTCCTGTCACCGACAGTCAATTTTCTGGGCCTACCTGCGCCTCCCTGGTGCTCAATGCCATATCCATTTGCAATATTTTTCAAAACACGATAAACAGTGGACAAACGGATGCCTGTTCCATACTTGAAATCACTTTAGCTGATCTGCTAGCAAGTAAACAAAGGGGGATAACACTTCATAAACTTATGAAAAAGGATTAACGGAGTTGTCTCTCTTGAATGAAACCAAGCACTTGATAGCTGGTCAAGGTTGTTTATACTAGATATCCAATTAAACATATTCCTAAAATTCTCAATAATTTCTGGTTATACTATGCCTTTGCTACCTAGCAGGATTTACACCATCTCTTCAGCGGCTGGCGATTGTAGAAAAATTAGCCAAAATTAAAATCACAAAAATACTACGTTCTAAAAAGGTTGGTAAGTTTAAATGTACTTTGAAAGTTTTGGGACTTACGTACCCTCTCAGGAGGACAATAATTTTACAGTACTTTAACCCCTTGAGGATACAGCCACTAACAATCTGAGTTCCTAATTTAAACTTCTATTCATAAAATATTTATCTATTTACAAATCATTTAACAAATCTAATTCTTCTAAAAATGCAATAATTAAATGAGAACTGATATTGTTAAAAGATCTTTCATAATTGGTAATTAAAGTAGAGTTATAGTTCTGTAAGACGTATAATGTATTGATTGTTTGAGTGACATGTTTATCTGTACCTAATGGTATATGGTAATAGTTCAAGCGTTTTGAACATTTGTGATGTGCTTTCTTTGAATACAAATGTCAGCTTGAAACATTTGGTAAATAAAATTTCAGATGTAATGATTTTAGTTCAATTTCTATACTTCTCATCAACAGTTTAGACTCACTAGTGTAAATATAGCCACTTACTTCAGGCGACTGTTTTAAACTAAAATATTCCATATTGTTTAAAGGTACTGTTTACACATGAACTGATGTATTGTAAAACATAACGTTGAAAAGATTATTGTCATGAGTTCAATAAATGATAAAAATCAGTGAAAATTGGCGAATTCTGAACGAACGTTACACCAAAACGCAGCTGTTCACATGTACGATATTTGCACATGCATTTCAGCAATTTGATGCATGTTCTTCGTGCAATTCATCTGCATAAGGTTTGCAGTTGGTTCCCCCATGTTAGTGCTTCTAGTGAGTGTTAATGTTTCGATGAGAAGTATATTCCATCAGTTAAAATGACATTGCTACTTTCCGACATACACTGAGACAAAACAAAGAGAAAGAGATTGTTAAACTGGTTGTAAACAATCTTCATTTACATGTCCTGTGCATTTAGAAAACAATTTCCAAACTGTTCGATGTTTTAATAAACCAACTACGATTTAGCTTGACATATATAAACATTTATGAAATACAAGGAATTAGGTGATATTTGTTGCCTACAAGTACATTTTTTTTATCTTCCACCGACAATTTAGTTTTGATGTATTTTCAAATTTGTTGTACTTACCGAAAGTTCCACCGGTTGTCTCTCAGATGAATAAGATAGATATGTAATAATGATTTGTTTGTTAAAAGAACACTAAGTGGTGCTATCTCACTTACATCAAACAAAGGTACCAAAATGGTTCTATTTTCGTAACGCTTGAGGTTATAAAACATGAAAGAAACCATGATATGACTTCAGAGTTTCTATAGTCATTAACATATTGTGCATGCAGAACAACAGTGAATTTGGATGTTAGGCAACATATAATCCATCTAATCACAGGATATACAAGGTATGATGTTGGTATTTGTAGCAAATTCAGAAAATGAGCCTTCAACTTCACTGATCCACCAACTTATCACTTTTAGAGATTAGTGATGGCAACTGATTTTCATAAGAGGCAAATATGTTGACTTTACATTGGTAAAAAGAATTACAAGTTGCAAGCAATTCTATTTTGGACCCCTTGTACCCAGCTGTGCACACTTTTCGTTGGAATCGACCATATGTGCTATCACGTTTGTACTGTACATCATGTGGCCCAATGTGTTATAAACAAACGTCTTGTCTCATTTTCTGACACATGATGTTTTAAACAACAAATAAACCACGGCGTGTCAGCAGAATAAAGGGTGGTCTGGAAGCGATGCGTGTCTTTATTGGCAAGAGTATGGGTACAGTGTCGACAGTCCCTGGATGACGTGCGTGCGAGATTGACAGGTGTAACTTGCAGTTACGTAGTCCAGTCACGTCAGTTTGGGTGAGTGAATATGGTATCACGCCTCTTTTAGGCAATATCAAGCAACATCACGAACCTGAAATGGGCTTCACACATTGTACCCATGTGGGGAATCGAACCCGGTTTTCAGCGTGACAAGCGAACGCTACCCCACCGCCCTAGTTTAGAAGTCCTGTAGTGATGTAGATATTTTATTTTCATCACTATGGTGTATAAGCCCGGGCATGATACCTTCAAAACTGGAAACATAATTGTGTCGAACAGGGATTCCAACTGAGAATCGGTTCCTGGTGTACGGACGGGACACAACTCCGCACAGCGAATTGCAGCGCCTGAGACGACTCATGATATGTCCCTGATGTAATTCCTTGGTGCATTCCCTTGGTTGACGTGAGTGTGCAAAACGTTTCAGGTTGTGCCGAAGAATCGAGTTCGAATCCGGAAAGGATGCACCTCCCTCCCCTCCCTCACTCCATTGTCCGACCTAATGGAACAGGACACCGGTTGAAATGTTTGAATGTTGTATTTGCACGATAAGGATAAACATAAACAGCACGGACAATGCAATAAATGTAACTATATTCTGCAGTTTCTAACAAGTATATAATGTAGTGACATGAACTCACAAAACACTTAACTAGTACCTGTAAATAATCCACTGAAATGTATATTGTAAATAGTTAAATAGATAAATAAGGAGGCAAGATGGTATGTTGTTCGTTCATAACACAAGGGAATACTGTTCCTCCGCTCCAACTCAACGTAAATGGCGACTCGTAGCACAACAGAGCCACACAGAGAAGATTACGACGCGGACATATCTAACAAGCACATATCGATATGAACTTAGTATTTTTCTCGTCAATCGGGCATAACAAACATAGAAAGCTATCTGTTCGGAATACATGTATACCACAAAAATGGCTAAGGACCCTCCGATTCTATAACTGTGGTTAATCTGCCATACCTTGACATCCGACTTGGAAATAAATCGTTTCATTAACGTATTGTGATACTTTCACAGTGAAACTTATAAACAAGCACAATATCTCGAACCGCATTTCCCTTATGAAGAGCCAAGAAGTGTTCCTTTACTTCTGGCTTAGTCTTAAATGGAGTCATTCATTGACATATTTCTTAAACATCAAAATATGACACCTAATAGAGGCCGGCTCTTAAATATAGATGAAACACAATAGATCAATATTGTAAAGTAAGCAATGAACAAAATACGATCGATGAAAGCATATGACTGGCAGTGCTCACAGAGCGTCTTCTACAGACATGATAGCATACGCTTTCTTAAATGCAATGAATTTGAGAAGAGTATAAACAGGTTCTCGAATGTCGGGCGGTTCGACTCCCCGATGGGTATACTGGTGCCTCTGCTTCCAGTTTTCAATGTTAATTATACCTGGCTAGACATAGTGTGGCAACTGCATACTTGCCAGTGCCCAAACAAAATACGACGAAGGTGTGAGAAATGGAACCACTGCTCACAACGAACTATTGATACAGTATTCTTTGGTTGAGCTGTAATCACGATGAGCAAACACCGCCAGGTATCATTGTCTAAACTATATGGGACTTCAGTCTTTTAATAATGATTTAATACTTTCACTCTTTTAATACAATACTCTTCATTTTCTCAACTTGCGAGGTGAGATTGTTCAGTCGTTCTTTGAGCACCACGTTTTCTCTCCTGAGGTTGTCACTGCCTAGGATGGGGACGTCGTGGTCAATGGCGGCTATGTTAGGAGAGTACAGGTCCTGATTCCGCGACATCTGCGCGTGGAGACCAGACGAGTCCATGTGGAGGTTCCCCGTCATCCCTGATGATATGTTGTTAGGAGCCTGAGCTGCTTCCGGGCCGCCATTTTTGTTTCCCATGTTACTGATGATCACGTCTTGTTCGGATCGTTTGTTACGGATGGTGAGGTCAGCAGGGGAGGTAACTCCTTGCAGGTGGTTGACCGCAGAGTACATGGACTGTCCTTGAGATGTGTAATGGGCGTAATAGTCATACACATTCCGGGAGAAATGGTTATCTGACTGCGATGTGTAACGTTGGTAGTTGTTGTTGTTATTGGTCTTGTCGTTGTAGCCATTGCTGATTCCTTGTAGTCGCTGGTTGTCGTTGTAGCTGTTGTGCTGGAAATGCTGTGCTGACGCACCCCACGTCAGGGAAGGGTTGTAAGGGCCGTACGCGGAAGAACCGTGCGGCACGTGCGCAGACTCGGACCGCACGTTGTCCTCCGACATGCTTCGGTCGTGGTCGTCGCTGTCTGATTGCTCATCGCGTTTCCTATCGACGTCGAGTGGTGATGACGGGTCTGACAGTAACGACACAGGGTAGACGTCATCACAACCAACCCGACTACTGGCTTCCGCCGCCGCCTGTGCCGCCTTCACCTCTTGCATACACTGGGCACGTTCCTCTGGCGTCAGGAGACTCTGCTCGGGAGGAATCCCAAACTTGGCCTTGATCAACGCAATTTCCTTCCGCAGCAGAGCGTTGTCTTCTTCCAAGTAGCTCATCTTATGGCGAATGTCAACTTCTAATTTCCTCTTGTTCTCACGAGACCTTTTAGCAGCGAGATTGTTTCGCTTGCGTTTCTCCCAATATTTATCGTCCTTTTCCAGATCTGGGATGATACGCTTTGCTCGCCTTTGAACAACCTTTGGCATGAAGTGAGGACCATCCTGTTGTGGTGGCTCTGTCAACCAGGTGGCGCTGTCTGCCGCATATTGCTGGTGATGGGTCATGGCTGTCAGGTCACGTTCAATCTGCAATATAGCAAATGTAAATAATAATATAATGCCATGTGTGTGGTTCAAAATACTGTTTGAACGTATATCAAATATATCAGTTGGCAGGGTTCACAGTTTCTACTATATTACTGCATGGGCATGTTTCTATACCATAAGTGCAGCTATGGCAGTATGTAGGCGCGCAACATTTTCGGGATCCTAAAACGATATCAAACCATTTAGTCGGGACTGAGCCTCTGGTACAAGGGATATCAGCGCCACTTGCTGACACATCGTGTTGATGAGTTCTTAAAAAGGTCAACTTATATTTTATTTTTATTTTTAAAAAGTCTAACAATTTAAAACTGCCGTTTAGAAACAATTATCATCTCTACTTCAGTGCTGGCCCGGATTGTCTATCAGTCGTGGTAGCGGGACTTGCTGTGTTATTCAAGGTGGTTTATCAGTCGTGGTAGCGGCACTTGCTGTGTTATTCGGGGTGGCTTATCAGTCGTGGTAGCGGCACTTGCTGTGTTATTCGGGGTGGTTTATCAGTCGTGGTAGTGGCACTTGCTGTGTTATTCGGGGTGGTATAAGTGTGCTTGTCAGATATGTTGGTTGCAGTATTTGTCAGTCGTGGAGGTGGTTGCAGTGTAAGTATCACACGGTAGGCTGCAGTATCTGTGAATGTTCGTGTAAGTCGCCCATGACGTCAAGTAGAAAGCATGCCGCAATGGTTAACCTAGATTACCCTACAGACGCGGAAACAGATATACCTAATGCAGTAATGGCAAGTCCAGAAAATGTGGCATGTCCAGATTAGAGTTTAATGAAAATGAAGAAAGTCTCTGGGATCGTTTTTAGCATATTTTGACAGCATGATTTAGGAAGTGCATTCTGTGTAAAATATGATTAGGTGTTAGTGTAAAGTTCAACCACAACTAATGCTCAGTAACTCTCCACAAGAAGAAGTGGTGATATAATCAGGTTTGGGTGAACCAAAATGGCGTATATGCGCAGTACTTGGAGATCGATTCAGCGTGTCCAAACAAGACACGTAACCGGCAATGTTGTAACGTTGTCTGACGGCCGATTCCTAATTAGTAGGGTGGTTGAAGTAATTATTCCACGTACGTAGCGATTGGGCAGCGATCCGATCACTGGTATGTAGATAGTAATGCTTGACCTTTGGCTGGCTGTATACCAAATCTACCAACAATACCTCGCATCACAATAGGAACTGGAATATTCCTGTTCTTCCTCATCTGGACATCTTTCTGATTCGCTCGATTATGGTGTTCCAAACATTTGCTAACACGAAAATCAAAGTTACGTAAATTCGCAATGTAAAATCTAATATTTAACAAGCGTTTCATGCTTGGGTCACGACACATGTGGCATACAATCTCAATGCTATTTGATTTGGACGTTTGGTCTGGATAGCAGCCGCTCATAACTTCATGCATTGCTTGACAAGCAGTGTCCACATGGTAGGTCTAATTCTGCAGCCAGTAGTCACACACAACTATATCTTCAAGCATTGCTTGACAAGCAGTGTCCACAATGAATGCCTAATTCTGAATCTAGTATAACCCACACAATTATCTCTTAAAGCATTGCTTGACAAACAACGTCTACATGGTAGGCCTAATTCTACAGCTAGTATAACCCACACAACTATATCTTCAAGCATTGCTTGACAAGCAGTGTATACGTGGTCTAATTTTGCAGGTCGTATAACCCACACAACCGCTGTCACGACTGCCTCTGGTCACAGATTAATAGATCTGTACACTGTCATGAAGACTAGTGTCAAATGTATGCGCCAGTTCCATCTTTCTTGACACTCACTGTTCTCTGAACTGCATTATTTACCCTTCCACACAACCATCCCTGCAATGCTAAAGCCCTAAATGAAGCAAGTCTAGATTTTCCCAAGGTTGAGGCACACTGAATTTAAATGGAATTATCTGTTCCTAAAAAATTATGCACAGGGTTAATCTATATGAAAATATACCAAATATTCCTGACAAAACCAAGTTAATTGTTCGCACACTTTTGTTTAATACGAACGACAGAACATAATAATTCATTAAAGTAGTTATTAAGAAGGCAGATTAACGAATTATAGTTGTTCCTGTTAAAGTCTTTTTATTCTGATATGAGTGAGTGAGTACGACAAAGGTAACAAAATACGTACATGGTCATACACCACCGTCATCACCGATGTAATCATTAACTTTTACACTTAAAGTCTTGTTTATGTTTTATTAAGTCATGACAATCTGTCTCATACATGCAGTATTAAAACAGAACGGGTTTGTCCAAGGCGACTGACGCCGCCCACAGTCGACAGCTGTGTCCCTGTGTGCGCCAACAGGCGAGTGTTATGTAACTTTTCTCTCCATCAATATACAATTTCCCCCCATTGTGGTCGTTATTGTATCTGTTTTCCACGAACGGCCGGACTAATGACCACATGGCCAGAATCAATACAATTATATCACAAATATGTCGAGAACAGGCCGCGAACAAAAGTTAATCTGACTCGTTAGCCCCCGAGGTCGTTTGACAAGCAATTACACTTTCAAATACATATTCCGTCACGTCAGGCCCCTGCTTGTACGGCATGTGGCAGAATGCCTTGAGTAACCCCTCTGTGTCGTGGCGTTAAGCTCTCTCATAAGGCGGCAACCCCAGTTACACTGAAAGTAGTCATTAGCGTTCTCTGATGATTTTGTTAATAAACTGAATCCGTCAAAAAATGATGACAAGAAATGCTTTATAAATGTGTTAAAGTTCAAATATCTGTCAGATAGTATCAAAACAGAAATCTGTCGAGGGTGGCATATAATAAATTTACCAAATTGGTCAATTAGTAATATAACATGAGCTTCTAAACATTGTCCAGATGAACACATCAGTCTTACGTGTCATTGCTGTATTTTATACACTGTATTTGTTTGTACTGTAAACAACAGAGCATACAATATAGAAAACTACGTATTTACATCCGCGATATATTTATATAATTGGTATGCCAAGGTAAATTTGTCCAAAAAGCTATTATGTACATATTTGGGTAATGTAAACCAGCCCATATTCAGGAAATAAGTATTAACCGTCGCCATGGGCAACGGCTTACACATTCAGTAAGAGCTAAAACACTGCAACAATAGAAATGAATGGCGAGGGGGAAATTAGCTCATGCGCGAACAACAGGGGAGGTAAATATGCCCTTGACGCGACCCGAGCTCCACGTAGTCAGGTTTTCATTCCAGCTAAAATCCCTGATCATGGTATGTAATTAGCACGGCTTACTGCGCGTGTTTCGGGCCGCGTAACCCAACAATAAAATTCCACAAAGTAAACGATTCGTGTTGGTAAATTATAACCTAAGTGACGCAGGCTGGCTACAAAATGGTTATCGAGGGTAAACAATGTGGGTGGAATTGCTCAGAAGGGTTTCTGGGGAAATTCATTTAGAGCAAATGTTAGTCATTACTTCCACATGGTGGTTGAAGCTGCCTGTTATGTAACTACTTTGGAGGGAGGGGTGGGTGAAGGGGGATGTATGGGGATATAGAACTTTGATGACAGGCTGACTATAGTCGAAGATAGCAACTTTTTGGATAACAACTGTATTGCACAGAGCTGTTTTCGGTGTAGATGTTTGCATCGTTATCATGCTGAATGATTCCTACACTGTTAACAAGCAAAACAAAGCTACACCAAAATGTCGCTCTATGCAAAAAGCAAGACGTTTTCATCCATAAGGTTGTAACGTTCTTTATTGGCTCTCTCCTGTACCCTCAAACTGGTAATTGGCTTATAAACACGACAATAACAGTGCAGAGCCATTGTGATTCTGAATTATAAGGGTCACAAAACCTTCTGGAAACATCGAAACTGATTACAATGCCTCATTTATTTAGCGTATAAAATTAGCTTCCTTTGGTTTGGTATTGAATAAGTGGGTTTTGGCTAAAGCAACAAAAAACATCCCCACATATGTCATAACAGTTTCGTGAGAGGCATATAGAAGTTGGTATTAGGTATAAGACAAAATATTATGGCTGTCAACTTCTTCTTTATTGTATACAAAACGTTTCTGGGCTTTTCCTTGCCCCTTCGTCAGGTATACATGTCAGAAGCTTCTGCAATGGGTATATTTTAGGAAACTTTGTTATTATCGGTTACACAGTCGTTTAAAGGTTATATCGGATATCATCGAATGAAAACACAGTCACAGTGAAACAATACATGTGCCTCATCTCCGATGTGGATTAACAATGAAACCATTATCTATCAGCCACGGGTACCATCTGTAATTCTAATCGAGCTTTACGAGAACAAAATCTTGCCTTTGCAGATATGTAGGCTCCATGCAAATCATGTTTAAAAAATCCCTTATGTTCTCAGCTTATTACGGCTGATCTATAATCAACAGAAATGTTATTTTCAACAGTATACACTTTCTTTCACTTTCCATACAACATTTCCGTGTATACCAGGTGTTTTTAAAATATTCGCCATTTTATAGTCATGGAGCTTCGGTTTAATTCCAAAATTATAATTTTAAGGGTTTTTTTTAGCATGTTATCAGCCTATCAAATACATATAAGTCACCCTATAGCCATATATTCGCAGCGACATCATTGTCCAGCATCGCTTGTCCAGCATCGCTTGTCCACCGTCTTACGGAACTACCAGAGTTGGAATAACTATACATGCACCTACAGTTCTTTCTTGGCTAGGTAACAAATAAACAAAAGCGCCAAAGTGAAAACATAAATTTATGAATTAGTTGATATATAAATGTGTCAGTTATGCTGTCATAAGAGAGTATGTCATTTAAAGAAAATAATATACCTACAACAGAACAAATACATGTATATACTACTCTAAGACTAGTATATTAACGATAGTAAAACGTCAATGTTAGCTATATCATTATAAATATACTACCAACAGTATATGCACGCATATCACTAATAATAAGCAGGTAGATTACCTAGCAAGTAACTCTGGTGTTT